TACCAGTTTAACGTTGAATATTATTTATGATTTTAGTATTGTTATGTATCTAAAAAAAATAATTATAATAAGAATAAAAATGCTTATAGATATTCATTAGGAAGAAGATTGTACTTTTGAAAGATCCAGAAATTGAGGTAATGTAGTTTGCATTCCAACAGTTGGTAGTATGTAAAATCCAATGCAGTTTCCCATGAAAAGTTTATATATTATTGTAAAAGCTTCATATTTAAGATACGGTCATATATCACGATAGTAAGGACAGATCTTGTTCTTTTCTTTATCCTCTGTGCCTAACTTGGTTTGCATAATACAAGGTTATCTTACTAGCATAGTCTTTAGCTTACTGTGTAATCCTCATGTGTATTTAGCTGTTACTTATTTTATTTATACCATAAAATATAATTTTAATTTAGTTCAACCTGCTGGTGTGTTGCCCAACCCAATCCCCTTGACAATAATGCACATGTACTCTATATAAAAGGGACTGAAATATACATTATTCTAAAAGAACAATGTAGGCCTAAAACAATTCTAGTGAAACATGTTATCTTTCTTTACTTTGTTTGAGTAGATAAGTCAAGTCGACAGGTTAGCTCATTTCTATCGTGTTGACTTAGGAAAATCAAGAATAGAATGTGGATGAGGAGGATAGTTTGGTACATAGTGGTATAAAATAGGACATGATTTAATGGTACACTGGCTCTAGTCACAATAAAACAACAGCTTTCTAACATGCAACCACTTGTATTTATTAGTTCACTTACAACTTTTTTATAGATGGATGTTTATCTATTAGTGTCATACTCCCGATTTCTGTTTCTTCTTTTTATTTTAATCTGTATCACAACTTTTTTTGTGTGTGTGCTTAGTTATCTATCCATTTTTAAATGCAGAAAGTACCATTCACATCAACACACAGGGATATGATACCATCTGTTATTTGAGCAGCAGAGGAAGGAGGAGTTATGTAATTGTCCAGATTGGGAGTTATCTGTTTGGATTTGAACATTGGTAACTCAATTGATAGTGTGATCTAAGGGTCCCAAGTTCAAACTATGGTCACAGCATACTTGTTAAGGTCCTGATAATGCTATATCTAAGAATTGATAACAGTGAACTCTGAAGGGGACTTGATTCAGGCCCACCTGCAAAGTATAATGTAGTATGTAAATTTTTATCTGTTTAACTGCTTCTCTGAGGTGATATATGTGACTAGTTTCATATTCATTGTTGTGGGAACAGATTTTGTGGATGAACAAGTTTTAACGTTTTCTTAGCTTATTGTTAAATGGAAATTAGGTTACTGAAACAATGAGTTCAAAGGAAAAACAAACAAGTAAACAAACTATGTCATATACTGAACATGGTTTTTGAACTCTAACGTGCTTAGTCTGTTCAAAACCAACTAACAATAAACAGTTTAATAACCCAGAAATTATGTGTTTTCAGCAACTAAAGGCCCTTACCTCCATATCATCGACCACACTCTGCAGCTGATCTCTCAACTCTCCAAAGGCATCAATAATCAAACCTGGAGTACACAGACAAAAAAAAAGACTTCAAGGGCTAGTTTCATTGTCACACAAACACAAACTTTAGAATTAATGGTAATCTACATGTTTATCAGAAACACACTGAAATCTTAGGTTTCTTATCTAATGAAGTTGACAAACCTCTCTGATGAAAATCAAAACAAATTAAGACATATAACAGAAATGTCAGTTTACTCATGTTACTGGATAAGAAATTAAATGAGAGTAAAGATAAGAAATAAAGACGTTTTTCTTAAAAAACAAACTTAAATTTAACAACTATATAATGATCATTAAACATATTTTCCTAGAAATAAAAAAACAACAACAATGACACAATATGAATTAAAAATAATATTTACTTTTTTAAACTTAATTACAAAAAATATTTACTTTCATAATTTTCAATTCCATATTTGCTGAATAGTACTTCTTAAATAAAAGGATAGTTTATTTTTTATCAAAAACCAACTACTTTCTCTAAAAGTATTAGAAGGTCAAAACTTTTTGCAATTTTACGTTTCCTTTTGTTTCATTCATCTTCTTTGTTCTATTTTTACTATTAAATGATTACACAAATTTCCACGGATGTCTAGTAACTTGATAACAAATACATTATATTGAATCTATTCCCACTGAACTTGCTTGTAAATTCCATCATGACCTGCTTGAAAGGACTTATAAAGTTAAACAGCTGTTACAGACAGCCAGTTGGAGTAACAATTTCATGAAAGCAATTCATGGAAACCTCAAAGGTGAATGGTTATTGGATATGATATTAGTGGTGTGAAATATTTCAGCCCATTTTTATATATCCTAAATCAATGTCATTTCCTCAAGAAATGAAAGAACATAGGACATGATAACATAGAATATTTGGTCAAGTGTCCATCTTTTACTCAAGGCTTTGATGAGCTCAGAAGTGAAAGCTGGCATATCCATTACGTGCAGAGAACTTATTCTGCTGAATTTAATGGATAAGTTGCAACCCATAAGTTGTTCATTACAGTTATAACTTTAGGGATTGGTTTTCTCGGTGCTCTGGACATCAAAACAGATAGCATGGAAAAACCATCACGTCAAACAAACAGTTCCACCACTCATTGTTTGATGGTACCTTGGAGAAAACTTTCTCATCCCAACTGTGAAAAGTGGTGAGGTTTGGATGTGAACTTTGTATGTTCTTGATAGTTAAGGTAGCCATGAATATCTTGTTATATGTAATAATACGGTGTAATGATGGAACACCATGAGAAAGGACTGTCAGGCAGGTTTTTATGTATGTATGTGTGGGCCAGACTCTTTACAGTAGATGTCTGTGACTTATGGGTGATAAATTTCAACAATTAAACAAACAGCACACAGTCCACTCGTTTTAAAATATTAAAACAAGTTAAACATATATACAAATGTTCATCACACTTTTGGTTAACACAACTGTATCCAAGTTTCAAATAATTGTCTCTTTTTCAACAAATTCCAATCAGGCTGGTTCAGTTTGACAAGAATTATTCTTTCTGCTCTGTTATTACAATACAATCTTGATAATGTCACTTTAGAAATTTGCACTATACATTCTTTATGGCTAAACTCATAATCAAGCAGTTTAGATCTATCTATCTATATCTATATTGAATTAGATTTTGGACATGTACTTATAGCCTATCACAACCACCCATTAATAAATGGTGAACTACACAATGTACAATTTGAAAACAGTAGCATAAGCAAACCTGTGATAAACTATAGCTTCAAAAAATTAACACTCATGCTACATAGCTATCTAAATCATAACTCTTGCATTAAACTTAAATGGAAACAGTCATATATATCAAACATGGACCATTTATCTTTTAGTATGATAATTTAAAGTGCATGTTGTGTCCATAGGATTTTCAGACAAACAATATCCAGAATCTGTCTTCTAGCTCAGGGCACCAACCTGAAGTAAATAACCTACTCCGAGATGTCTTGGAATTATGCCTGAGCTACAGATTTAAAAATCACACCATATTTAGACCTGCTCTGCAAGAGGAATGGCAATCTATTCCACAAGATTTGTACTAATAATTAGTCATGTTTTTGTAATAGAGTATTTAATGTCAAAATTGGACCAATATATTAATCCTCTCATGGCAGGCATGTTATATTTTTCACTTAAATTTTGAAACTTGATAGGTGAGTATGCATCAACATCTGAAAGGTGTTATAATTCTATTTCAATAATTTTTTATTCAGACATATTTTAAGATTTATATTTTATCATCATATAACATTTAATTAGTGTATTTCACAAAGAAAAATTAAAAATTTTCCAACTTCATATCTATAGAGTTCCAAGAAGTCTTGCCTGTAAACAGCACATTTATTGATTTTGTTACAATTTTCCTGGTCATCCACAATTAAAGGTTTGTATTTACTCAGAAACTACATTACTTGGAAATAATAATGATTCATGTTTTGTTTCTCACGTGGTTTTGCTTCTCTGTTAGTAGCTTTAGTACTACAGCCCTTTGTTTCCACCCTTTTATGATGTTATAGCATGTGGTCCAGACAATTACTACTGATGATCATCAGCTTTGCCAATAGCTAAAAATTATTGGATAGAAGGGATTCTAATCTATCTACATCAATAAAGGATAAAGTGGTTTAGAAGTAATTTGTTGTTTGTCAACATAATGACTGTCTGGAGTTCCCATAGATATGAACAATGAATCCTAATATGAAATTTTCAACACTTACGAACAAATCACAGATCTGTAGATTTCTTATAGTTTCTTTGGATATTCTTTTCATTCCTGATAATGTTTTTATGTTCATTTATATCTATTTGAAAGCTGCAAGAATATTCTTCTGTGACAAGACAGCTGGTAGGTTTATCAAGTACAGTAAGCCATGCCAAAAGTGTTGATTAATTGAGTCAGTAAAATAAAGTATCAAAAGAAATGTATTAACTCTTTTGCTACAGGTAGGTTAATGTGTGCATGTCACAACTTTTTAGATAGTTAAATTCAAAATTTAATTACACTATTTTATTATAATTCAATACAAATAAACTACATATTATTTAGAAAATGTGTACTAAGTTTCATACAGTTTGGTTACGTATTTCCATTGAGAGAAGGAAAAATTCAAAATTAAAAGCTTTATTGACATTTTCTTACCTTGGATGATAGCCAACAAGATAACAATGACAAAGAAAAAGAAAGTGATGTCAAATACAATTCTGTAAACTTCATAATCATCACCATCTGGAGGTTCAATCTCATCACCTGAAATGTTGAACAATTAAACATTAAAAATTTTAGCAATAAAAGTTTAATATTTAGCATTTCAGTATTTAAAAAAGTACTTCAAGAACTTTCTTATAAAAGTAATAAAGGGACATTGTAATATACTTGGTTTTCAAGTATAACATGATTCTCAAGTCTTACAATATGGCAAACTAGAGTTATGAAGTTTAACATATATTTTGTCATGTAACTAACTGTAACTTGCTAATAACGTTTCATGATTTTAAGTTTACAAATTATAGTTGAATAAAATAAAACAATGGTTTCACTTTGCAGTTACCAGTGGATAATTAATGAGGTTAAAATGGATAAATATTATCAAAATTAAAAAAAATGTATATGTACCTATGCCACCACCAGCACGGACACCCTTGTATAAATGGAAGACAAAACACTGAAGAAGAAAAACAATGGTTAATTAGTTTCAACCACAACAATCACTGATATAAAAGACTTTGCAGATCAAAATAAAAACTAATACATAATACAGTTTTTTTAATTTTCCTAGAAAGCATGAAACACTAACATAATTCATGGCAGTTTCCTGGTGGGCCAGTGATATATTTATTTCTTTAAAATGCTAAGATCTGAGATTTGACTCTTCATGCTGGACAGAACACAAATAGACCATTGTGTAGCTTTGAGCTAAAACACCACAACAACATTCATGGTATGATTTTACAACGTTTTTAAAACATTTATAGCACATATACACAGTTTAAAATTATTTATTTAGATGTGAAATGTACATACAGACAAAAAATGAAACTGTTTTACTTATTTTCAGATGTATAATAATTTCATTGTCACATATAGCAATAAAAATGTGGGAGAAAAATACAAAACAACCCTTTTAATGGTTAATCCAGAGGTTGAAAGTTTCAAGTATAAGAAGAAACAAAATTCTTCATGGCAGATTTAAACAGTTTTAAAGAAGAGCAGAAAAGGATGCTAAAATGTAGCAACCGAGCAGCTAGTCCAAAAAAGCCAGCAGAAAAAATAAGAAGAGTGAACAACCATAACAAAAGTTTCTGTGATTTTTAAGAAGCTCTGTTGTAGAAAAGCTACAGTCAACGATATTATGGTATGAAAAGGTTATTCTGAATTATTTTATTAGGTTATAATCAATAACTAGAAACTGTGGTTGTGGGAATTTTATTTTAATTTGGTTGATCAGTTTATAACACTCTACTTACTTTCTCTTATACATGACTACTTACTGTAAGCATGTTATGACATTTCTGGTCAACCTGGTCCTCCTCCTCTTGAACATAGAACTTGCGAAAGAAGTTGAAAGCTATGACAGTGTATATGTACACAATGATAGTCAAGAGCATCACAGTCAATACCAGCTGAAAATAACAAATAAGGCAAAAGCATATATAACATACTGTTATGTATAAAGTCTTGAAGTGGATTCTTTTGGGATTGACTGACTATTCATTATATTACTGATAAATAAGACTTTACCTATTTAAGATATATAAAATTTTAATTTTAACAAACTAACTTCTGTGAAAGTTCTTATATCCAAAGAACAATTTTATCTCATTCCTTCAAACCATTAAAACTTTAATTTAAATGATCATGATTTTGACTGGTCCTACTTTCAATCTCACTCTCATCATGTAACAATTTATATGAAAGAAAGATGGTTTCTTATAGTTATACTTCTTGACTTGAACCTAAGCCTAAAGAGTATAGTGTTTAAACAATAACTACTTCACTAAGTTGTACCAGTATTCTTTACTTTTTTATACAGGTTATAAATTTTTTTTTTATCCAAACACAACATAATTTGAATTCTAACTTATTCATCCTAAATTTTTGTTTCTATTTATGTTGAGCATTATTCATTATACTAAAATAATTGTAATGTTTCTAAAAGTTTCAGGCTTAATCATTTGTTATTTTATCAAGACTGTTAAGAAAACACAGGTTCAAAAATCAATTAAAGACAAAAATGAGAGACCCTGTGATCCTAGTGCTTACCAAAGATAGACCTTTGTCTCTTTTTAATAAGAACAGGAAAAGACTTATATTACAAAAAGAAAACAGTATCATTTAAAACTGGTCACAAGAAGGTAACTGAGAAATAACAAAAACATATACTGCTGCATAATAACACAAAATGACAAAGAATGAATCCAAAAACTGGTTAAATCATGGATAATTTTATATTTCTCAAAACATATTATACAATAGTCTGAACCTTTTGAAAATACTTAGTTCAATTTATGTTATAAAACACACCATTTTAGAAATAAAAGGTTATAAAGTATGTACTTTAGAAAAATAAAGCTCATTATTGTTATACGTACATACATTACTATTACGTTATAACAATTTTTTCCTTAAATTTACGTAAAACAAGTCAGTACAATTAAATACTAATATCAAAAACACAACATATATGATTTGGATATTTTCAAACCTGCAATTAAATGTATGTAGTTATTTGTTTAGAAACAAAGAGCTGCTGGTTTTGTTTTCAAAACTGAGTATAGTTCAGGAGTGCATCTAGATTTATCATGTAGAGGTAAAATGTCATTATAATAGAACAAGGCTTTGTGAAAATTTTTTGTATCATTTTACAAGTGTAATGCTAAGAGTTGGGTTTCAAAATACAATTATTTTGTATGTCTTTCTAAAACACTACCTGTTTTCCATTGTGTGTAACCGACTGCAAAATAGTACGAAGTGTCTTAAAACCCACAGCGACATCCAACAGATGTGCAGCAAAGAAGAAGTAGTTGAAATTACCCATTACTGAGAAAGCAAAATACCAGAGGTTGTAGAGAAATGACTGGAAAAATAAACAAAAAAGTTAAATCTGAATAGCAATGAAAGCCTAAGTGAACTTTATTAAACTACATTTAATAACTGAGACAAAAAACATTAATGACATTAAATGTACAGCCACTATATAAAAAGTGCTGTTCGTCCTTCATGCTTGAAGAGGGCCATCTTTATCATCATCCATTGACTTTGTGTGTTCGGAGGTGACTGACTAGCCTGATCCTGGCTTGAAAATGTCTGGTGCAATGACGGCAAGAGAACAGAGGACTGGTGGGTTCTAATAGTTGCTTCCTATTGCTTTACGTGCTAAATGCTTATTCTGGGCTGTCAGGATGTGATGTTGTTCATATGTGGCTGCTCCCTTTGTGACAGCAAGTAATCAAGTAAAAAAAAACTTTTTGAAAAAGTTAGTAAATGTAGGGATGGCTAACATCAGTGATTCAAAAACAATACAAACAAGATAGTAGGGATTGCACACATAGGCACACCATGTAGTAGAATATTAACAGACATAAATAGGATAAATTAAACTCAATTGCGATTGAATAATTATATATATTGCTTTATGTTAATTCTTGCCTGTGCTATTATGTATGGATGATGCCAATGCCATCCCTACTAACTTGTTTGTATTGTTTTTGAAGGATTGAATAAAGAATTTGGAATTTAAAAACCTGCAATTAAAGATCCTAAAAAATGTAAGAAAATAAGGTTGGAGATACTGTAGACATTATTTACTCAAACTACAAATCCCTAGTTTGGCTTCATGCTGTTACCTAGAATTGCATTTGATGGAGTCAAAATAGAGATTTGTAGTTTGAGTAAATAATGTCTACAATATTTCCAGACTCCAGCCTTTTTTCTGTGATCCCTATTTATAGGTTTTTAAATTCCCAATTTTTTGTTTATCTTTATTGGCATTTTGCATATTCAACTATGGACAAAGGACTACTTGATATGATAGCTAACTTTATACATTGTAATGATAATAAATGTAGCTAGCTGATACAGTTCATGAAAATTTACTGTGATTATTGACTATATGATTGCAATAGTTCGAGATGTAAAATGTTAAGCTGCAGCTGGAGATTGTCATGGAGATTTGTTTGAGAATATAGTGAGCATTTATAGTTTCTGTGTAATTAAATTATCTATATATAATGCATAACAATGGGCAAATACATGCCTAGACTAAGACACAACTCCCATTAGGAGCTTATAAAATTGTACCAGTAGAAAAGTAGCCTTTTCAAATATGAAATATACGTCTAAAACATTGCTTTAAATAAACCTTCATTTCTTTTTAAGTAATTATTCTATAAATATGTGTAATTTAGATTTAATATTATGTGTATTGATTTTTTTTACTCCTTCATTTCATACATAATACAGGGCTTGGTTCCCTAAGTACACCGATTGTATAGTGTACAAAGCATTAAATAATTACATGTTACAGTCATCTAATTTTCATTTATTATTGGCTGGTAATTCCTGTTTCAACCTGTACTTAAGCTTTATTAAGGAACACTAGATATTTGTAAAAAAGCTAACTTCAAGGTGTAATGATAACACCATTTATACCAAAATTATGTTCTTTGACTTATGTAAAATATAGAAGAAACAAATTGACTTTTAAATAACCCTACGATCTTCACAGTACCTCATTTAGTATTCTACAAAAGATTTGGGTGCAATATACCAAGCCGTTTTTGTTGTAGGCTGGCAAGAGAAGAAGAAGAAAAATGACAAATGGGCTGTTTTGAGCAGATTTTCTTTTCCTCATAAATATAACACACACATGCTTTTTTTGTGTATTTTTATAAGTGTACAGCCTTAACAGTCAATAGTAAAGGTTTTAATGTGTTGTTTGAACTGAATCTTTACTGTTTGAAGTGCTTTTTGCCCGAACGTTTCTATTAGGGTTTTGTGCAATTCCTCTCAATCACTATTATGAACCACTGTTATGATAAAAGAATTCATTATTGAGAATAAAAAAAACAAAGGTAAATGTATCAATGAATAGAAAACTGCAAGATATATGTACATCACCTGAGCATGTCATCATACAATGCTTCTGGTAAAATGTGATTAATGCTTATAAAAGGTTTTTGTAGTAAGGTATAAGATAACTCAAACAGTAATAGATTAAAGTTACTGCACTGTGAAATTTAAAAGATATAAAATGTGGCAAACGTTTTGATTCAATGACTTTCATTGGACAACAACACTGTCTGAATTTTCTTTCTGATAAGGTTATTTTAATCATTTTAGTATTTTCAGAGCTGCTGAAAAGTGTACGGGTTGGCCCTATTGTGGATCTGTTCTGGATATTGGAGTTGGTTAGCCACGTTTTAATCAGTGTAACACAAAAAATCATCACTACATTTTAAACTGTGGGTAAATTATAAGAGTGACAGTCAATCCCTTAACATTGATAGTGGGTTGCAAGGTGCTGCTGTCAGTAATTCAAAATTAGGGATGGTGGCAGATTGCCTTAGTAGTTTTACCATAAATACAAAATAAAAATACAGTTGCTAAAGAGTTGTCTACAGGTATTCAGTACAACCCATTAACATAATTTTCTTATAGAAACAACTTCATATGCTCAAATATACACTTTTATCTAAGTTTGGAAACAAAACTTATCACTGTAATTTGGAAAAGACTGAAACTGATTGCTTATCACTGCTTAAAAACAAAAAACATCAAATTTTATATAAAACAATTTTCACTATAAAGCATTTACTACATCTAAATTATAAAAATCATTTCCTAATATCAGCAATTAACTTACATTATCAGTAATGGTGACACCAGCTTTCCAAATCTGATATTTCCAGTCAACATCTATAATACTTAGTAATAAAGTAAGGTTTAATTACATTGGTATAAATAATTGTTACACAAATCATCAATGACTAATAAAGATATTAAATATTAATATAAACCTCATATTTGAAAAATTAATTGATACTGAGACAAGAATGTGCAAGCTGATATAAAGTAACATAAGCTAAGAGTTAGAACTGTTCTGATTAATTGTTACATCAAATTACAAAATGCATATTGAGAGTAGTAATTAAGAGGTATAGACTATTTGAAAATAGTAACTAGTTTTGGTTTTGTCAGACCTGTCTGAATAAAATGTTATTGCAAAATTTAACTTGTAATGATCTCTTTGTCTTACAGTCCTTTTGTTATTTATCTACATGATTATTTAATATGAAAGGATTATAGTTCCCATGGCTCCAGTTATAACATGATTCAAAATAGAATTTCTATCATTAACACAAAATTAACTATAATGTTCAGATACTCTAAAGGTTTTTACACATGAATAATTTCATTAATTTCAAAAACATTTTTACCCCATTACCACTGCCAACATCAACACATTACAGTTCTCACAGCTGTTAATTGTAAACAAATTTAAAAGTAACAACTGGAATGTGTAAAACAATACAAATGCTTTTTTGTTTAACATTGTAATTTAAATCCTTATTACAACCACACAGAAATGCACACAGTATAGAAACATTGTATAGATACATGTAAACAATGTATTAAAACTAATTATAACTTAGACTGGTCTGAATATATAGTGAGAAAATAACAAACATGCATTAACCCCCCCCCCTTTTTTAAAGAGGGAATACTTGAATAAAAGTTATATCTAATAACTTTTACTTATTTTATCTACCTATCAGTTAATTTACTCAAGTTGGATCAGTTTTCTCTCTTTAGTTCAGTATGATTAATCTATCTTGGCCAACATGATAAAACTCACAAGGATATTGAGCTATAATCTATAGTTATCATAGTTATAATGTCAAATATGATCAGAGGCAATACATTTTGTTTGAAAACAATTGAAAAAGATTCTTAGTAATTACTGGAAAATTGCTAGTGAATTAAACTTATTTAGTTAAACTAAATATTATGTATTCATTAACTTCTTAGTTGTGGAACATCAGCATCTATACATGTAAGGATTTAAATCCTGAATCTAATGAGATGACAAAGAATGCATGCTTCTACTGAGTTAAGGGATTAATGACTCGCTAGCTACAACTAGTAAGTCAATTTTAACAAAAGTTGTGTAGTGTTACTCAGTAAACAAAAAATGGCTAATGTGAAATAGATGGTTTAATATTCACAATGTTTCAGCCTGGGACACCCTTCCTCTGGTGTTTTTTTCATGGTATAAGTGTTTTCCATTTTATGTTTTTGATTTTTCATACCACAGCAGTTTTTTAACTAGTGTTACTTAGTAGTTTGAACAGTTAGAAACAAAAAAGCTATAACAGCAAGAAGTAGAAGGTTATTCTTTTAGCTCAATTGACAAAACCATTTGTTTTTCTATCACCTCATTTATCTAAAGATCAAATCCTATGAGATGGTGGTTATCACACTTCCTGAATTATACATAATGGGCTTAACTTATAGACCTAAAGTGGGGAAATATTGTAAGTCTAATGCTTACTTATTAGATCCAATTAACAACTGTACTGGTTTACCAGCTATATGTGTATGTTTTAGATTCACTAATGTTACGATACAACTTCTATTGAAAAAGGAAGAAGAACAAACTGCATTATGAACACACAAAAATCTCAATCTATGCAAGTTATGCACTTTAAGTCTTAAATACTACTTATACAAAAAATTTATTTTGACCAAATAAATCAATTATCCATACAGGCAACAGCTATGTTGTTTTCAATACGAGACTTAAAAAAACGATAAAAGCAAACATAAAAAACTCACAAACTAAGGAATCCACCCAATCCCTTGTCCTGAGTAAAAGATCCACTTCTATCAATTCCAAGGAGATTACTGATGGCATCATAGTCATATGTCTCACTGTACTTCTCTCTAACCTGTACATATTGTAGGAAGAACACAAATAAAAATGTATTGTACTATGCAAGTTACAGAGTAAGAAATATAAGATATAATTAATATAATCAATGAAAAAGCATTTGTAGTGCTTCAAATTTATGACTTTGCCTCTCCAAGTTAACAAATGAATTTTAGTCTGTGATGTTAATCTAAAATATTCCGTACAAATGTACCCTAACAGTTGCTAGCATTATAAAAGAGGGTAATCAATACCACTGAAATACGAGTACAGGAAAAATGCTTTTTGTTACTTACACAGACTTAACTGGTGAGCTTTAAAACAAATACTACAAATGATGCTCACTATGTAGATATATGAAAAAAAGAGAAAAAAAATGCTCTATATTTTATTGGACTACATTTTTAAAAACAAATAAAGCTTGCCATTATTATTGTATATATATTTCAGAGAGAAAATTACAAATGGTCAAAGATTACATACCCTCTTCTTGACAAATTTGTCCCAGTAGTTCACTGGAAATGAACTGAAATTAAAAACCATTAAAAGAGTTTATGAATTATTTGAACATACTATGCTGAGATCAGAAAAATAGTTGCTATATTACACAACACTGTTTTTAAATAGGAAACTAATGAACATAAAACCATACAAAAATATAGTAAAATAGTTGTGCACATAACAAATACCAGTGGATATGACACAGAACTTTTATTACTATTAAAGTAATCACCACACATCAGAATCAAACCTGAAACCTCTCGTACACCAGGAATGTGCCTTACCATCTGACGTACTAGCTATTGCTAGTAAGGCATTTGTTAACAATCTGAGTTACTGTAATTTTTCTCTCCCATAAACAAATCCTATCTTATTAGGTAGCAGTTTTGCTTTTGGTAATGTTTTAATTTTTCAGTCTACTATAGGCAGGATTTGAACCTGGGACTACTTGAACTCAGGCAATTGTTCTACCAAATGAACTGAAGAGTTAACCCACTAGTAGTTCCTACTAAGACACTTTTTTCCCAATTCAAATTACCAAACTTTTATCATAATTTATAGCTGAAATTGTATAATAACACAAAATAAGATTAAATACACAATTAGTTTAGGTCTAATAAATAATATCACTCAGAAAAAAAATATGTTTAGACATCAAATTTATATATTCTAACCTTGAACTTATCACAAGTTTGTCCCAGTGGCTACGAATGTCATCTTCAGCTGGTTCCTCTGATATGAACAGTCCATCAAATTCTACTCTTCTTGCTAGTTCCTTCTCTCGTTTAAAGATGGCTAGAGGAACCTTGTAGAATACAAGAACTTTATTAACTAAAATATCCACCCAATCCTTCGTTCTGAGTAAAAGATCCACTTTTATCAATCCCAGTATATAATAACGTTAAGAGTATTTCTACAATATGAATAAAAGATTGATTTAAAATTACTTTGTTGTGGACAACCAGCATCATCATAAAAACTAGGATTAGAAAGCCTCATCCGTTGACAGCAAAAGTCTGAGTCCATATGTAAGTACTAAATTCTTATTTCTTAGGTATATTTTTTAGTTGTTATAAAAGTAACTAAAATATAAAAATTAAAAACTTATTAGGTTAGATATGAAGTCTTAAATGAAAAAATAATTAAATAAAAAATTTCTCGTGATAATTTATATTCTAGTGCACACACGCTGCTTGACATGACTGTAACTCAATCATTTGTTTACACAAAGCTGTCCCTCTCTGATAAATGGTATTGTGTAATCTGAGATGGTCTAAATACATCTGTAAGGCAAAAAACTAAATAAAGGCAGAATTGTAAGGCTAGTAGCTTATGCTGGTAAGAAAACTAAGTGTAATTATCAATTACAAAATACAGAAAAACAAAAGAGTAATATAGATGTATTTCAAGGGTAATCTAGATGCACTTCAAGGGTAATCTAGATGTATTTCAAGGGTAATCTAGATGCATTTCAAGGGTAACCTAGATGCATTTCAAGAGTAATCTAGATGTATTTCAAGGGTAATCTAGATGCATTTCAAGAGTAATCTAGATGTATTTCAAGGGTAATCTAGATGTATTTCAAGGGTTATCTAGATGTATTTTAAGGGTAATCTAGATGTATTTCAAGGGTTATCTAGATGTATTTCATGGGTAATCCAGATGTATTTTAAGGGTAATCTAGATGTATTTCAAGGGTTATCTAGATGCATTTCAAGGGTTATCTAGATGCATTTCAAGAGTAATCTAGACAGTATTTCAAGGGTAATCTAGATGCATTTCAAGGGTAATCTAGATGTATTTCAAGGGTAATCTAGATGTATTTCATGGGTAATCTAGATGTATTTCAAGGGTTATCTAGATGTATTTCATACTCTTCAACTTTTTTATTCTACCCTATGTTGCTGATTTCACTTCAACTGGTGTTAGAGTAAAGAAATAAAATTTAAAGTTTTATTGAAAAACTTTTGATATTAATGTAGGAGGCTCTAGAAATTATGCAAATGAACTATGAAAACTTTGAGATTAAAAGAATTATTTCTATTATCATCATGAACATCACCTTTCAATCAGACTGACACAGTAAAGGCTTTATATATTATCAGACACACCTTTAATAGAAATACTTCATTACAAATTCTAATATTTTGTGTACACCAGACTTTTCACTTTTACTAAAATCTTGCCAAATTTTATGAAGATCAGGGTGAAATTCTGCTGGGACTCACCAGTACTGAATACCAGAACATATTTGTTTTAAGGCGGTACTAGTACCAGGACTTATTTGAGCTGCTTTTTTATGTTCACACAGATTTTTTTTTCTTTTTCAAAAACAGGTCAATTTCACAAAGCTGAGTACCTCTATTTTTTTTTGAGAATTTCACCCCAGGTGAAGCTAAGCACAGTTTGGACTTAGAGGGTGCTACTGGAGAGAAAGAGGATCTTAGATAACTAAGCTCTTAGAGAGTTTTGAATATTATTTAATATTAATATTATCATTTGTAGTAACTTGGGTTAAACAACAAAAGAATAATCACTAGATTTAAGAAGGTTGGTAAATAAAAATAGTTGCATTAAAACGTTATATTAGAGCTAAGTGGTGTAACCTGTACTACAATGTTAGATTAGGCTTAGGACATATAACAGTACTTTAGGTTTATTATAATTCAACTTATTGATTATCCATAAAAAAAAGTTAAACAAGTACAATCTAAAGACTAGTTGATTGTATCTTCATGTTTTATGGATAAACTTGGTTACCTCACTTTAGATCCATTAGTTTAAATTCAGCTTATAGGTAGGTTATAAATCAGGCTAAACACATTGTATTATTACATAAATATCAACTAAAACAAAGACTAGTTATTTGTGTGAAGATAAGGTAGTGGTAAAATACTGTAATATATTTGATTCTCAAACATTAGGCTTAACAGTGCTGTCAACAGGTTACTGTTATTAAGTGTTGAGTATTTATTCCCAGGCTACAAATACAATACTTAAGACTAGTGTAGGAATTAAGCATTCCCAGTTTGTTAGGTGTGAAGGGTGCAATGAGTGGGTTTTATCTGGGGACTTGGGACTGGCATGTACTTTTAAGGAAGCTAGCAGTGAAGTTGTGCAATTTGTTTGTAGAGCTTGCAGGTTGGAGGAGAAGTTGGAAGCTATCATGATTAAAGTAGAGGCAACAGATAAAGAAAAGTGTAACCTGTGGGAAATGGCAGCAGGATTTCAAAATGATCTTAAGCTTTTACATGCAAGGGATTGGATAACCTGTGGGGCAAACAGGGAGAAAAGAATTAGATTATGCTACCAAGGAGCAAAGATAAAAGATATACCTGACAGAACAATAGGTATAATAAATAGGCCTAGCAATGATGCAGTTTTTGTTTTGCATATAGGGAACTGTAGTTCAGAGGAGCTAATTGATAAGTACAAGGGGTTGATAAAGGCATTTAAAGAAAAAGGGTATAACTTAACTGGGATACTGCCAAGATTTAATTGTGGGGATGAAATTATAAGTAGATCACTAGGGCTGAATGCTAGGCTTAGATTAATATGTAAGAATGAGCAGCTTGGCTGTTTGGACTTGTGAGATCAGTTTAATGGATGAAGGGGCTTTTGGAATGGACGATGTACATTTAAATATGGTAGGGGCTGGCTTATTTGTAAGAGATATTAACTCAGCTGTAATGGAAGTTTTAACCAAGGACTAGACAGTGGTGAAAAAACAAAACAAAAACAAAATATATATATATATATATTAGGGAAAAGTTTAGTATAGGAAATGAGCATAGAAGTAGATATAAGGGTAGGCTTAATCATTAGTATTAAAATGCTAGAAGTATAAGAAATACAATAGATGACCTTAGAGCATTGGTAGGAATGGAGGATTTTGATATAATAGGAATAACTGAAACATGGTTAAATGTAGATGATTTTGATGTCAGAAGTTTCTTTGAAATTCAGGGTTATAGGTTATTTAATAGGGATAGAGTGCTAAAGAAAGGGGGAAGGAGTGGCTTTATATGTAAAATGTGAGTTACTGTTGAAGTTGAGGATATCAATAATAATAGCAAGGAGATTGAATCCATTTGGAAAAGGCTTTTAGTGGGAATTTGTTATAGACCATCAGATGATACTAATGAAATTAATGAGAAATTTTATAGTGAAATTAAGATTTCAGCTATTAATGGGGTCATAATTATGGGTGATTTTAATTTCAGGCATACAATTAGGAAATGTTAGAGTCAAACCATGAGAGAGAAAGATTTTTTGGAAGCTGTTCAAGATGGTTTTCTTCACCAATTGGTCAAGGACCTTACTAGAGACGATGTTATTTTACATTTATTATTAACTTCTAATATAGAAATGGGTGGAAATTGGAGAACATCTGAGTGAAAGTGACAATTGCTCCATTAGGTTTGATGTTTTGCTGCATATGGAGATCAGGAATAATTATATTCTTAGTTACAAATTTCAAAAAGCAAATTTTGTAGGGATGCAACAAGAATTATCTGTTGTGAATTTGATAGCTGAGATATTTGTAGACACTGCTCAATAGAGGTTGGTTCACAAAGGGTATAAGAGATAAAAAAAAGCACCACAAATTTAAGAAATTTAAATTGACTGGTTTGACAGGAGATTTAAAAGATTATAGAATATCAAGAAAATTGGTGAAACAGGAAATTAAGACTTCAAAAATGGTGTATGAAAAGAGGTTGGCTGAAAATGTAAAAATTAACAGTAAGAAGATCTTTAAATACATTAAGGGTAAATAAAGTGTTAGGATAGAGTATGACCTTTGAGGGATGATAAAGGAAAGCTTGTATTTGATAATTATGAGATGGCTTGGTTATTAAATTATTCTATTTCTTCAGTTTTTTACTGATGAAGATTTAAACAACATTCCTCATCTTGAACAGTTGATAAATGGAAACAAGATCAAACAAGAGATAACATTAATTTTGAGCTTGTGAAGAAAAAAATTGGGAAATTTAAAGAACTACAAATCTCCTGGGCCAGATGATATTTCCACGAAGGGTTTTGAAGGGGGTTAAGGATTGGATATGTGAGCCACCTGCTACTATTTTTTTTAAGTACTTGAATAGTGGGCAGGTACCAAAGCATTGGAAGTTGGTTATTGTAACTCCTCTTTTCAAGGGAGGTGATAAAAACTGTTCCAGTAATTATTGGCCTAGTAGTCTTACATCAGTTCTGGGAAAAGTTTTGTAAAGTCCGATAACAGGTGCTTTGCAAAGTCATTTAACAAAGTTTAGAATTTTATTGGATAGTCAATAGGGATTCACTAGGGGAGAACCTTGCCTTACAAATCTTTTGACATTCTTTTAGAAGGTTATTGTTATGTAGATAAGGGTAAGAGTATAGATTTAGTGTATCTGGATTTTTAGAAAGCATTTGACAGGTGCCACATAAAAGGCTTGTAAAAAATAAAATTAGTGCTATAGGTATGAGGAATAAGTTATCAAATTGGATAGAAGAGTGGCTGGATGGTAGAAAGCAGAGGGTTGTTATAAATAGAGTTTAGTCAAACTGGATTAATGTCACAAGTGGGGTTCCTCAGGGCTTAGTCTTAGGACCTGTGCTTTTTTTGATGAAGGAATGGTCAATAAATTACTTAAAATTGCTGATGATCTTAAGGTCTTGGTGTTGCTGGCTGTGAGGAGGATGCTGCTGCTTTACAAAATGATTTAGATCATCTAGTAATTTGGGTGAAAAATGGCAGATGGGTTTAAGTAAATTAATGCAAGATAATGCATATGAGTTATCACAATTTGAACTATAAGTATAATTTGGATGGGATTAACCTTAACAGTGTTATAAAAGAAAGGGATCTTGTTGTAGTGGCTGATATGTCTCTTAAGCCGTCCAAGCAGTGTGCTGTTGCTAGTGATAGGGCAAACAGGATTTTAGGTTGTATCTACAGAACTAGTGAATACAAGTCTAAAGAGGTTATAATTTTATTGTATAGGTCACATTTGAAGTATTGTGTTCAGCTTAGGCTCCTTAATTTCTTAAGGACATTGAATTGTTGGATAAAGTTCAGAGGAGGACTACTAAAATGATGCTTGGAATGGAGGGGTTGTAATATGAAGAGAGGTTAAGATTTCTTAAATTGTCTTCTCTTGAAAAAAGAAGAGTTAGAAGAGATATGATTGAGATGTTTAAGATTATTAAGGGAATTGATAATGTTGATGCATCATCTTTATTCATACTTAATTGTGAGAATGGTAGGACTAGGGGATAGAAATATAATATTTCATTAAGATCTTTGACTATACTGAAGGCTGGAGTCTAAAGACTGAGGCCCCTGAATAGTGTTATTTTTTTAACTTTTGTTTTAAAGTAAGATTGGTACAACAGTTACTGTGTGTAAATGCACTATAAGGACAATAGTAAACCTAATGTAGTTCTAATGTAAAGTAAATCTGTTACTTACTAACTAATTTGTCACATCTTTCCTGTACACGTAGAGCATCCAGAATTAGTTGGTTATCCTTTTAACTTTATGTGCACAGATCAGACCATTAGACTGATGTCAAATTCAAAACTTAATGTTTAATGTAAATCTGAATATAACATATAACATAATGTATATGGAAAGAAGGGACCTATTGGTCCATCTAGGCTGTCCCATCCTCTAAACTAACCAAAAACTATTTTAAGAAAAACAACTCAAAGCCCACCCTTAACATTCATTTAGTATCAAGCACTTTCTTAAACTCACTTAAATTTACTGCCTCCATAACAACTGAAAGCAACCATTCCAAAGGCCAACTGCCTTGTTAGGAAAATATAATTGTCCTACCCTGCGAAAATGAAAAATTAAATGTATCTTAAAAATATACAGAAAAAAAAAAGCAAAATGTTTATGCTATTTGAAAAAGAAACTAAAACAATAACAAGTGAAAAGCATCAGAAACCATACTCTACTTATGCCAGCCATAAAACAAGAAACAAGCTTCAACGTAAGTATGTAAAGTTACACTGGGAGACACAGAACGAACACCAATATGCTTTTTTCTTTCTATAAATTTATTTGGGTATTATAAGTTTCCTTTAAAAACGAGAGTTTCTTATTGGTACTGACTGAAACAGAACTTTCTACTAGTAACATCCATATTTCTAGCTCTTGGAGTTCCAATATACTAAAAACAAATCCATTGTTAAACATTAAGTATTACCTTATGAAAGAACAATCAAGGTTTCAAATACGTCAAAAATATTATGGCCTAAAATGCTTCTCACAATGTAGAACCTTAAAACAAACTCTTGACTTTTCAAAAACAATAACTAAAAGTAACAAAATATACAAGATGAATTTATTTTCTACTTAACATCTTGACTGTCTAGAATGTTATTACTTTGTAACATAAGTTTAATATATTAACCCATCAAGTTCTCACCTTCAAGTGGTAGTAAGCTATTAACATACAAAAAGCAACAGAAGAGTGTAGAAAAGCAAACAGACGTATAATGTGCTCCAAGTAGAAGAACTTTTCTTCTATTATTAACCATTCCTCCACATCTTCTTCATCCTCCTCACCACCTCCTAGATCATTGTCTCCACCTAGCAACTCTTCAGTAATGTTGTTAAGAACCTCAGTAATTTCAGGCTTGTCTGCAATAACATCTTCAACTTCATCAGTAGTCACCTACATCAACAAGAATTATAAGTCATTAAATCAATTCAGATATGATTGTAAGTGCCTCCATTTACTAATACAAAGTATAGATACTTTTATTTTCCAATTACAGAATCACTATCTCATTAGATAAAAGCTTCACTAAGACTTGACAGTAGCACCATTTCAGCAAAATCTGGGGGGGGACAAAGTTGAGCCATTATTTCTACAAAATACACGAACTGTTGATGATGTAGCATGTTTCAGGGTTAACATTTATATCAGCTGTAATAACTATGTAAGAGCCAGGGGGTTAAGAGGAACAATGAAAAAAAAACCTGGACATTTCAACTTTAAACCTTGTATATATGAATATTAGTAATTTCTTAGCCCATTAACCAGACATTTTACATTTCTCAAAACATCTAAGGCTTGGGTTGGAGAGGTTAGGTCATCAGCAGACTTCAACTTTGTAATTTATGAGTAATCAGTGATGGTGAAAAAGCTAATTCCTTTTATTTGAGTTGTCTATAATAATAATAGAATGTATATGTATAATTTTGAAAAGTAAAAATTCATAACAGAAAAACCCAGCTCTTGTTTGGAAAGATGTGAGAATCAAAATAAAACAAAAAAATTGTATTAATTATGTACAATCATAACACTTGTATGTAATTTCAATAAAAGACTCTTGAAGAAAGAAATTAGAAAGTTATTCAGCCTTTAGTTAGTAACTAAGCACAGGATAGATCCTTTTTTCAATTTAATTTTTACATACCTTATAAAAAAGCAAAATGCAATTGATACAAAATGCTAAGACCAGGGCTATGTACTTCATAGTGTAGAAATTTCTTGCCAAGAAGCTCTGTAATAAAGCATAAAAAAATTCTTTTAGCCACACTGTGTTGGATATACCTAAAATTAGTCTGGATGTTTTGTCATAAAATTGCAGTAAAATCTTAACAAACCACTTGTAAGTTGTAGCAAGTGTATAATGCAATTTGAATTACTATTTGCTCTATGAGCCATCTTCCTTTAGATAACTGTTATGTACAGAAAAACACTAAATTGTATCATACCAAGCACTTTCAGTTAACCATGTGTTAGGTGTGGCTTTCAGAATACTGACAAATACTATCTTTAACTTTCATAGTACTTTAAATAAAGTTGAAAAAGAAATTCAATGCTTAAAAATCTTTCTAATACTACACAACTGATTCAGAAAAGTTTTGTAGAATTAAAAATAAAACTAGTATTTTGGTCGTAATATGATCTAATAATGCACTTTACATACGTTTGGTTTAAGGTAAATAATCTTTGCTGGCAAAGATGCTAAAGAAATGAAGAATGAAGGGAAAATATAATTCTCTGACTGATAAAACAAGAAAGGCATAGTTTCTTAACCCACAAATTAACTAAGCATAAAGAAAAAAAAAGACAGTACTTACCACAAACCTGTTAGTGTATTCACTCAAGTCAATGGCTGCAACCGGGGGAGGCTCAACAGGCTTCTGAGGCTCTGGTGCCATGGATGCTGACATCTCTGGTGGAAGGACATTATCCTGGACACCAGGTATGCTGGCTTGAGTTGCAGAGTCTGTGCTGTTAGATAAAGAAAGAATATATGTTCAAAACTCTAAAGAATATAAGAAAGATTCATGGAAAGCTTTCTAATTTATTAAATTATCTACATACTAGAGGAGTTTAGCACTGATCAAAGCACAAGTCTTCCTCCCTCCAGTTGTGGAGTCCTGTTCCACCAGGTTTGTTAGTGTGCAGACCAGGTAGCATTGTCCCTCATTCTGAACAATCAACCACAGGGATGTAACTAATGGGCAGCAACTCTTTTCACTTTATACCTTATTACAAGAGAACTAGCTTGCTGATCTGTCGGTTCTTGTGAATGATAGTAAAATTGATTCAAGTAAAATAATAATAAATAAGTAAACAGCACGAAAATATAAAAGTAAGGTTGTGTTTTATTAATTTTTACCTGAAATTTGAGTTGTAAATGACTTAAATAAAAATTAATAATAATTACAATGCACTTGCTTAATCTGATTCACACCCGAAGAGATGTTATTCGTGAAAATTGGTGATATATATATATATATATAGCACCTAGATCACAACTGTGTCTTTCATATCCCAACAGGCCCGATATAGGTCTTGGTATTGAACGAAAGGTCTCATTGGCACTGGTTATAGCAGATTTCATGTGGTTGGCATATTATAACATAATTTATGTTCACTCATGGGCTCTTATTATTACTATTATTAATTAATGTGTATCATTTTTTTTATAATTACTTATCTTCTTAACACCAGGTACTATTTTATGTTTGGCACTATTAATGTTAACATATTCACTAATTGCTTGTTTTATAATTTCCTAATCAACTGTACTTTTCAATGGCCTAACATGACTTCTTAATTTCAAGTAATTTATTCCTCTTAGTAACGAACAAAATTCTCTGATTCTGACAAATATACAGTTCTCGTTACTGGTCAATTCTTACATTATATCTACCTTTTTAATGAAAATTCTACATTCTTTAATTTCAAGTAAATAATCTTTCTCATTAATTACAGAATGACAAATTTTATGAAATCTATATCTCTACCCAATAACTTGAAATTTTAATATAATAAAATCTACATTTCTTACTATATTTTATGAATTCATGAAAGTTACCATATTCACCCTACCCTAGCTACTAACTATTCTCCATAATTTATGAAACTGACCCTATAAATCCTATAACTAACCTTAAATACTCTCAAATTTATCCTAATTACTAACAACGTTTTCTTCATAAATATGTGAAATAATTCCTACTCATAATAAAATTTGTGAAACCTACCTTATTCACTATAACACTATTCTCTCACTACCAGACTATTATCTCCAAATGCATAAAATTCATGAAACCTACCCTACTCACTAACAGTCTGTTTGTTAAAGACATTATAAATACTAATAATTAGCTTTAGTAAACTGAAAGAATTCAACGATACAAAGTATGATTATAAATCAGAAAGACTGCAGCAGTTCTTTGATAACAAACGATGTAAAGAGAAGAAAAAGCCATCAAAATGGAGGTTTATACAACTTTTACAGTAACCATAATTTCAGATAATCTATAGAGAGAAATTTTGGGAATTGATTCTCAAGTCATCTATTCTGAAATTTTATTCAGGTGACATCATTTTTGTGAAAGAGACGAAAGAAAGAACTTTTAATGTTGGTTGCCAAAGCGAATCAACCACCAGTTCTTGGAAGAAACTGACTACATCACCTCACCTTGGACTGGAAATCTTTGTTCAGTATATCTTCAGTTCTTGATCAAGCATTAAAGAAACATGCATCAGCGTTCAAAGTACAATCAAAAACATGAAAACTCAATTAAAACTGAAAATAAGTTAAATGTCTATGTTCTTCAAGCTAAGAACAAGGTAAAGTTGATCAAGTATCAGCTGAAACGACTGTAAGAGCAAGGTAGCATATTGAAAATAAGCCATAGTAACTGGGCTTCACCAATCATCAAAAGCAGATATATTGGTACAAATTTATGGAGACTACATGGTCACAAAAACATACAGTTAGATGCTGACCAGCATCCACTTACAATATCTTCGCTATGCTGTCAGGAAGTTAACATTTTGGCAAACTTGACTTGTCCCAGGAATATTACCAAATACTAGTAGATTGTAAGTCAAAGAAATAATTGAATATCAACATAGACATGGGGCTCTATGACTGCAATAGACTTCCATTCTAAACTGCATCAACACCTAAAATCTTCCAGAAGGCCAATGAAGAAATACTACAAGGTATTGATAAGGAAATGACTTATATGGACAGTGCTGAGTTGACTGGTAGAGATGACAAAGATCACATGGAAAAAAAGTTTATTAGGTTCTACAGAAACCTGAAGAGGATGGTGTTCAATTCAACAAAACAAAATGTGAGTTCTCAGAAAAGAAACCACATATTTTGGTCTCAAGATAGATGCTGAAGGTTTACATTTAACCAAATACAAGGTCAAGGCCATAATAGAAATGCTACAACCAACAAATGTGAATGAGTTTCATAGTTTCCAGGGCATTCTTCAATATTATGGTAAACTCCTGCCAAACTTGCCCACCATGATTCATCCTCTGAAAAGCATAGTCAAAAATAAAGTAAATAAATAAAAAGTCAGTGAGTGTGAAAGTGTTAGCACACTATATTCAAAGCTACCAATCAGACTGGCTAGTAACATTAGTGGTTATGGATTTGGTGCTGTTATTTCTCACATCATACCTGATGGATCTGAGCAACCAATAATGTATACATCAAGAACACTTAGGATGCAGAGAAGAAATATGCACAGTTTGAGAAAGAGACTATGAGCATCGTTTAAGGAGGTTGAAAGTCTCACCAGTATTTATATGTTATACACTTTACTTTTCTGACTGGACATAATCCATTACTTATCCCCATTTTTGAAGAGAAAACTGGTATTCTAATGCTAGCTGCTGCTAGAGTATAAAGATGGACAATCATTCTGGATGCATACCAATACAAGACTGAGTACCAAAGAACAGAGGACCATAGCATTGCAACTCTTCAATAAAAATTGCCAAAATAAAAAGGTGAATCATTTGAAGAGAGTCCAAACTTTCATTTCACATGCTTAGATGAGCTGCCAGTTACAGTGTAAGAAAAGACTAAGACAGTTCCAGTTTTGTAAAGAGTTTTAACTGACTCAAAATGGTTGGCTTAACCATGCTGAAGATGAAAGACTGAAAATGTACTTCAAAAGAAGACAAGAAGTGTCAGTTCAAAATGGCAGGGTTATGGAGTTTAAAATGTGTATACCAGTGTATCACAGGAAAAGATTCTTAAATGAACTGCATGATGATCACAAAGGGTAAAGAGCTTTGCTAATACATACATCTGTTGGCCTAGAATAGGAAATTACATTGAAATAATAGTCAGAAAGCCCATTCAACATGCATTAGTGAAGAACATATCTCCAAAAGCATTATTACATGACTGAATGGGGCTGTTTTGATCATGGCAAAGGGTTGACATGCATTTTGTTGAACTTAAAAAGTAAATACATTTCTGATCCATTCAGAATGGCCTGAAATTGTCACATTGTCAACAAAAACAAACATGGATGTTATAAGGGAAATGCTTTCATGCCATGGAATCCCTAAATTGTTTTGGGTAATGGGCCTCAATTCAGAAATGCTGAATTTGAACATTTCATGATAATGAATAATTTATAACAAACCAAGGTTCCTCCATAATATCCCTGTTCGAACAAAGTTACAAACAATGAAGCAAAGTTTCAGAATAGTAAAAAGGGGGGTTATCAGTAGGACAAACAAGACCAGCAGGTGTACTACCCATCTTGAGAATAACATTCCGCCATTCATGAATTCCAGCTGAACAGTTCCTAAAATGCTATCTTAAAATGAACTAAGCTCTGTTAGGTGTTACTAAGCATTAGTACATAGGGCCTGTGCCCCGATTCTACTTGACAGTGCCCGAATTCCCAGTTGGTGTCTTAAAAAATCAGAATAGAAAACAATGGTCAATATCATACCGAAATTCCTAAAATTCCCATGCCTATGGGCCCAAACCCTGAATCTTTTAAGCAGAATCTCTGGCTACGGTAATCAACAGTAAACAGAGAATGTCAAGCACAATTGTAGTACACATGCATTGAAGACATTCAAGTTGTGTGATATTGTCACCATTCACAGCTTTCATTGAAGCCTAAAATTACTGTCTCATGAGGTTCTTCAATGCATTGGCCTAATAGCCTACCATGTCAATCACTGTAAATATTATCACCCAGAACTGTTGACAGTACATTGCAATTACTGGAACAGAGTTGTCTATGTCAGACACTGCCTCTGCTAAACTATCAACATCATTTCCTGCAACTACTCCTCAAGGGCCTCGTCTTGACATTCAAACAACTACAGTTGCTGAGTTACCCGACCCACCACCAGAGAGTGTTCCCAATAAGAGCAAACTCATTCCAGAGAGATTCAGTTTGTGATTTATTTGAAATTAGAAAGGTCAGTGTTTCAATCATATAAAAAAACAAATTAAGGTCCATCAAGCCAGATTAAGAGAGGAAGGAGGGTAACATTTATGCTAATGATCATTTGTTATGTGCATGTCTTAGTATCAAAAAAGGTTATTCAGAATAAAATATATTAAACTGATCACTTCTGTTTGTAAGTGCTAATCATATTAGTCTAAAAAAATATATATAACTCTTTCCAACTTTGTAAAACCTATCATACTTACAAATGATTTACTTTCTATCCTACTTTACTCACTAACACTCATAAATTTATGAAACTCACCCTACCCAGTAAGGACAACAATTCTACTCTTTTTGAACCAGGTTCTTGGAATATTTTAATTTATTCCATGTGTACAACACAAAAACTACATAGAGATTTAATTATTAATATCAGTTTATCATAAGGAGAAATAACATGAGCATTCTGTTTATTACAAGTATAAGGCACAATTAATGAGCTCAGTGTAACACAAACAGGAGTCAGAACTAACAAGTTCAGTGTATCATTGGTAAGAAACACAATTAACAATACTGTGTAACATTGGTATGAAACAAGACAAAAACATTTAGTGTATCATGAGTATAAGACCCAATTAGCAGCTTTAGTGGATCAATATTTATCACAAAAGAATAAATCTCAGAATTACTTTTAACATGTCAGAGGTCTCTTCATCATTTGAAATATATGTTAAATTCAAATCCATTAAAAATATCAATTAAAAATTAAAATGATAATAGTACATTACATAAATTAGAGGTACATGAAGTTATACAGCATGCATTTTTGGCATTACCCTAGTTTTGTTTCTTGAGAAGCATGAAGTGTCTCTTTTGTTTTCACATCACCATCCATATGATTAACCTTTATAAGAGGAAAAAATATGAAAAAGTTTTACAAATCTATGTTAATTATGAAAAATACTTCTATTCAGACATTAATTTTGTTGATGCACGATCCTCACAAAACAATAAAGATTTGTATTGACAGAAAGATAGGATTTTGTGTCAAAGATAGACTTTAATAATGTTTAATTTTTACAATTTAGAATGAAAGAATACATAATGTATATGTACATCTAGTGATTTTCAGAGATTTATTTATATAAATAATTTTTTTGTTAGGTAAAAGGCATTGAAAGCATGGTAATAAAATTGACTTTTCTTTTAAACTAATATTGGTAATTTTTTAAAGTGATGATAGCAAAATGATGTGAAAATTGTTTAACAACTCAGTTAAGTTCAAAACTAGAAAATTTTTTACAAGTACCCTGTTCAATATAAATCTTTTACACTATGTGTGGTTTTAACTTTATGTATATGGTGATTATAGCGAAAACTCATATCTAAAATGATTTGGTATGCTAATTGAGAATGATAAAAGGATAGTGAACACCTTCTGTGATATTTTTTGAAATACAAATCCTCAAGTAAAACTTACGATTCTCAGTGTACCCCTGGTGAAATTTAGTTCCCCAAGAAAAAGAACTTTTTAAGATAAAATAATTTTTAAAATAAGATTTAATCTTTAACCATCCATTGTAAATGACCATTTTCAAAACAACAGAAAATAGATAGAAAAACTTGTTCTAGTAACAAGAAACATACTCTATAATTCAAGAACCATAACTTACAGGTGAAGTTACTCCATCTGAAATAACTTGTCCATCAAGTGGCTTCTCAGGATGTTGATTTTTCCCAGCTTCTTCCTCACTCCCTTCAGAAAATTCAACACTTGACTGTGGTGTAACTTCTTGATGAGCCTGAGTTGGTGCCATGTGATACCTTATGAGATTAAAAACACATTAATACAAGATACTTTTAGATTCTATTAACAGTGTAACATAAGCAGGAGTCAGAACTAACAAGTTCAGTATATCATTGGTAAGAAACACAATTAACAATATCTGTGTAACACTGGTACGATGCACAACTAATACATTCAGTATACCTCTGGTAGGAAATATGACAAAATGTTTAGTGTATCATGAGTATAAGACCCAACTAGCAATGTAAAAGGATAAATATTCAGAATTACTTTTAATATGTCAGAGATCTCTTCTTCACTTGAAATATATATTAAACACAAATCCATTAAAAACTTCAATTACAGAAAAATATGATTTTATATCAAATGTAGACAGTAATAAGGTTTAATTTTTACAACATAGGATGAAATACTTTGTATAATGTATACTATGTAAATAAAAATATGTTACAAAAAGAAAAACTTAACTGTCTATGTGTTTATAAAAGATCGTACTTTCTTTTTCAAGAATGGGTTAAAATTATCTGTTTACCTACAACTTCACTCTAGAAATAGTTTTCTTTTTTTTTGGTATTAGTTTCTGAAAAGGTTAGTTTAGCAAGTCTTTATTCCTAGGATTTATTGAAGTGTGTATATTGTGATGTGATTTTTAAAATAGCAACAACACAAGAAGCTTACCACAGAATTAACCACTTTGTCTTTGAAAAACATGTTACTTACCTTACTTCTCCACCCTCTTCTTCTTTGGTGATATCCAGTCCAAAAGCATGTATAGTGCCTGGCATGTCTGTATGGTCACCTGTTTTGGACGTTTCAGGTGGCGCTTCTATAGGTAGTGGTACAGCCATTGGAACCATGAAGACAGGCTTACGATTATGCTCTTCAGCTTTTCCTTCCTCCACTGGTTGACCTATTGGTTGACCTCCCATCAACATAATGATGAACTTTATTATAAACCTACAAGAACATTTAAGATTAGAAATAAAAAGAACCTGTGAAACCTATCTGGTAAAGCACTGTAATATATATATATAAGAGGTGTCACGCTTTTAAATAAAAAGTGTTAGCTTTTAAATATATATCTACTAAAAAGAGTGGAAATTTCTTGGAAATCATAAGGAAACAGTAGTGGGCTAGGTTGGTTTATATCCATATAAGCCACTAAAATATTTTAACATAAAATGGTACAGAGAATACTATTTAAAGATTATAATATAACAAAATAAAATGTATGCAATGTAAGAGTCCTGACAACAATTTAGCTAACAAAAATAAACAAATGTACTAAAAATGTAAAAATACTAAGAACTGAGAATTTTCTGCAATACTACCAATGTTATTACTCATATAAGAAACAAAAGTATTCAAATTAATTTTTATGTTAATAATATGATTTCTAAATGATTTATTTAAGAAGATTGTTTGTTTTTTTAATTATGCACAAAGCTACACAAGGGCTATCTGTGCTCTGCCCACCATGGGTATTGAAACCCGGTTTCTAGCATTGTAAGTCTGCAGATATACCGCTGTGCCACTGGGGGCCTTTTTAAGAAAAAGAAATACCTTAAAAGTTTTTGCTGTATTAGATTACAAATGTTTGGTTTAAAAACAAAATTCATTCAACAGTTCACAAAGATCACATGATACATAATGCCTACACTGCTGAACCATAATCTATTAGCAGATACTAAGTGTAACATTATATCATAAAAACACTGCTGACAATTTCAACCACATTCCTCTTTATTGTAAGAACAATGTATAATTGTTCATCAATTATTCTTTCATCTGTTTTATAATGTTGCTGATCTTTCAATAAATCTTCCATATTGTTTCATTAAAATATTATCGTAAATGTATTGTGAATTGTGCTGTGATGTAATTTCACATCTCTTACATAGTAGAATTTTCAAAACATATATTAAACACAGATTTTTAATTCTTCTATAAAGCATTTAAAATACACGTCTAGATAATAAAAAAACATATATATACAATGTCTCTGTCTTTTATGAAATTAATAAAATATCTTTCACATGCCAAAAAATGAAAACATAACTAAGAAGTTAACAAGAAATTTTCTTGTGTGGTTATCAAAGAGGAAGGATAGTTTAGTAAGTAGCCTTTGCATATATACTGAATAATAAAAACCTCACTTGTGTCTAGTTAGTTTACATAGTTTGTGGCATATGCAGCAAAAAAATTTATAAAATGGACTCTCATTAACTTTATCTATGTTAATTTAAAATAAAACTATATCAACTGTACAAAATACTAAAAGCCATTACTTCTTTTGACAAGTGTGGCAAACACTACTGTTACAAATGCTACCATGAAAACAGAAACTCTACTACAAGAAGAAAGCCACTGAAACTATACCTTGTGATGCAGTACACAAACTGCAAGCTGCTGAAAACGCTGTAAAAACTGAGTTTGAAAAACCCAACTAATAACTCCAGGTAAGTTTTTTGTCGCAATTTTGCATACTGCTTCTTAAGATTAGCAGGTGCTAGATAGGAAAGAGCCTTTAGTATACCATCCTTGATGTAACGCAATCCTTGCTTCACCGGTTCCAGAGCAGACCTAAATTCACCAGAAAATGCTTTATATTGTTTTTATAAGCACTCCAATAATTGAACTTAACAACCACTTATAGTTAAGCATAAACAAAAGTACGTGCACACACAGAAATTCTAACTTAAAAGATAACCAGGTAGTCATGAATCACTACCTCTACATGTATGTAAAGTATATTAGGATAACATCTATAACTATATCTCTAGCAATCTGTGATTAGGGTCTATAACTATATCTGTAGCAATCTGTGATTAGGGTCTAACATACATTACTGGGAATAATAACAGAAACAGTGAGTGAAATGCAACTTTATGGGTGTGCTTCTATTCATACGGTAAATAATAGTTATGTGTTAATAGTTTGCACTGTGATTGCTTGTTATCCAACCAATCAGACAGTGCTGCATAAGCATAATGACTATAAAAGTACAGGCAGTGATATACTATTCACAGCAGTTATGTGATGAATATACTCATGGTTCCCACAGCAGAAATGCCGTATGACAAATGTATTGATATCAGTTTTGGCTGGTAGAGCTACTCCATGCAACAAATTGGTACAAAATTTCACATTTCATTAGGAGATGTATAGAAACTCTGAAGAAAGTATATGAAACTAGTACTAATTATAATAGAAGAGGTTGAGGAAGAAAGCCCAAATTGATGTTATTAGTTAGTAACTCAGACTATGCCCTTAACGTCAGGGATTTTTTATTTTTACGAAAGTTTTCCATTGAAGCTAGGGGTCAGAGGAGGGAAAAAATAAAATTGTGCCATCAGTTACTAGTGTGCATGTAATGTAAGTGTCTGATTGATGGTACCCTAAGTGCTGACAGGTACAATGAGGGTCTTATCCATCATTTCATTTCTTCAGAAACAAGATCTGTTGGGAAGGAGTTTATCTTCCAGCAATATAATTATCCCAAGTGTGCAGCAAGTATGGTGAAACCATGCCTGGAAGGGTAAAAGAATTCAACAGAACTCTTGTATGGTTTGGCTTACACAAAGTCCCAATAAGAATATTATTACAGCTGTATGGGCTTACATGAAAACTGAGAGAGTCAAATGGCAACATATTTATAAACTTATGATGGCATAAAAACAGTGTATTGCTCTGTCTGAAGCAAATAAAAAAGACTAGTACTCTGTATAACATATTTTCTTTATCTTTTGCATTTTCTATAATAATATATTGTACTATGGCCATTAAAAAAAAAAAGAACAGTTAACCATCCCTTCCTATCCCTATTTTATACCAGTACTTTATTTATTTTCACAATCAGAGTGGTTTAATTTAAATTCCCTTATTTGGAATTTAAGATTTGGAAAAATTAAGTTATAAAAACATATTTCTTCATCCCTCCTCATTATTTTTAGCTGCAGCATAGTGGCTCATAGAATGGCTCTGAGTTTATTTTTATTATTAAGTACAAACATTTAGCTCATATCTCCATCGTCTTTTGACCGATTTGAGATCTAATTACAGTTTGGGACTGAGGAGGTCAAACCTTTTCAACTGATGAAATTGAACATGCCCAAGGTCTCATAGATTAATTTACTCTAATCCTGCCTAAAAAAATTTCAATTTTAGGGTAGGCTAGTAGAAATCCTGATGAATAATAAAATCAAACCAGGTATAAGCACGCCCCACACTTGGTATTACTGGAGCACAAAAATATAGCTGATAAAAAATAAGGTCTCATAGATTAATTTACACTAATCCTGCTAAAAGAATTTCAAGTGCCACAACTATTAAGATTTTGATGTTGTTTAAAACTAAGAATGATTAACTGCCAATTTATTCTAATTGGCCTAATGATAACCTGATCATTTAGTTGCAGTTACTTACTGATTGTGATTCTTGTATGTGCATCACCTGTGTGTTTCCATAATTATTTCTAATACTGTGCATGAAGACCAGATATATAGACTGTTCACTTTCTTAGACAAACACAGTTCATCGTTTGTCATGGTTAATGTCTTACACATATAACTAGCCGAATTCTTACGTAGGCTATGATTGAGACGGACTAGCTATATAGGATGAATATTTTTGAGTTATATTGGCTAGCTTCATATCACATAGTACAAATAATCAAGAAATGTAATACTAATCTCTTTAAATAGACTTACTCATGACATGCTTGAGATATCTGGCAAAAAAACTTACGGTGGTTTTTCCTGCTCTGATCCAGGAAAGGGGTAATCTGAGGTTTTAGTTGGTCCCTCGTCAGTATCTTCCATGGAGATGCTACTGGCATGTTGCATCTAGTATTAGCACAGTTACAGAGTGGTTTATATGTGTGAGATGTAGAAAAGTAATGTGTTAGAGATAATGATATAGTTGGTCATATATGTAACACAGTTGGAAATTATACAGTAATTTATGTTTTAATAGTGACAGAATTTAATACATTGTTGTATGTAGATGTAAATTACAGCGATTCAAACAGAAAGTATACAGTAAAAAATAAAATAAAACAATATTTGTATTGGGAAGTTGCTTTTATGTATAAATACACAAAACAAAAAGATATGATCCCATTGATTACACATATATATAATGTATAAATAGGCTTTGTTTATTTACAGAAATACTTAAACTACATTTTTATCTCTGAAGAACTATGAAATAAAAGATTTACCAACCAGATACCACTCACAATGTCTTGGCACATTCAATACATAACTGCATGAAAGAGTTAATCACAATCTCAATAAGGGAGACTATTTCCTTACCTCAAAGATTGCATCTTCACAGAAATTAACAAAAGCTTCCAGTTTTTCTTTATCTCCACCTTCTGTTACAATACTGTAGAAGAAAGCTCGTTTGGATTCCTGTTCAATAACGACAAAGAATTTCTCAATAAAACCCATCTACTATATAAAGCAAAATGTGTGTATCTGGGAAAAAATACAAATTAGTATATCTATCACGTCATATCTGTTCCTTATACGTTTCCACATATCTTGACCAATCAGCACCAAACTCGACACAGTGATAGAGGGTGACATGAGGAAGGTCATTAAGAGGTTGAAGGTTGGACCTCCCCCCTCCCCAATCATCTATATAAATAAACATCAATATGTATGTGTATCTGTTTCTTATACATTTCCACATTTCTTGTTCAACCAGCAACAAACTAGACACGGTGGTACAGGATGACATGAGGGTTTTTTTTGGGGGGGTGGGGTGGCCCCCGCATCTAATTTCATATTGATAGAATTCTTGAAAACAATATATCTTTCTTTTCTTTATGTAATTTTATTGCACTTTTAATTTCTATTATGTTAAGAAATAAACATCAGAAAAACAATTTCCTATCCTTTGTTACAAACAAGTTTTTATTTCATCTGTCCAATGGATGGGTACTCCAGCTAGTTCTCAATATAGCTTATTTATATTTATTAAGGAAACTATTTCAAATTTGAAAATAAAACATGATTTATTTCCTTTACTTTTCACTGAGAGTGATTTTTATTTTTAACCTTTACAAGATATATGCCAGTTGTGCAGCTTATTTTCTCTACTTAGAAATGATGAATCAATTCGAATTGGGCCACTAAAAAAAACAAACAAAAAAAAACTTTCTGAATTCTTGGGTATATTTGGTTAATACATTCAATCTTTCAGAGTCAAAAGTGATATATTCTGGAAGAAACTAAAGAGTTATTGCTGTTGAATTTTGTTGACGCAAATGTTTATATACAATATACTGTTTGAATATTTCTCTATAGAATATATATAATTCATCAATATAATACAAGAAAATTTTATTGTTTTCTCATAACAAAATATATCTACATTAACTCAATACAATTTTATAATGCATACCTGTAATATATCTAACACTTCAGTAACAGCTAGACTCACTGTACCAATATGTACAATGTTAGTGAAGATAACACTAATATCTGTTTCTACATCTAATTTTACTAAAAACATGCATGATAGAAATATTTTGTTATTTTTCTGAATTGGCAATAAAATTAGTAAAAAAAAAAACGACTTTTACTCTCCAGATAATAATAAAAACACTTTTTATTTCAGCCAATGTTTCACCCTTTACAGCATCATCAAGGCTAGTAATATTGTATACTAGTGAAAGTATCCAGCTTTATTTGGGTTATAAGGCTGATTTATTCTAGAATATTATGTCAATGTGTGTATTCTGAATCCAGTTTAGCATAAAAGTATAGCCTATGTACTTTTGTTGTTCCTTTATGGGATGTGGTCTGTTTATAAAGGTAACCTTTCCTCTGACTTGACCTCTTGATTTTAAACTTAAATAATAAAAAACAAACATTTTTAATTAATGGAACCTCTAAATAGAAAACATCAAATATTTTTTTCAATTTTTTAGTTTCTACATTTCATTTTATACTTTCAGCACATAGGCTCTTAACAACAATATTAGGTTACACTTTTATTGCTAAGCAATATGATATAAAAGCCATTGTTGGAATGCATTGTTACCAAAACACACTGGCTTTTCTATATATTAGAAGTTGTTATATACAGAACCACTTCTGTACTATGTGGTTTTTTCACTAGCTTGCCTCATTAAAAAGATGAGCACGCGCACACGCATGTGGATAAGTAATAATCCCCACGTGCAGACCCTCAGGGTCCACTTAGTATTGGAGCAAAATTTCAGGTTTCTAGGTTCTTTCCTCTTGGAATTATGGTAGTCACACAAAAACACCCGCTTATTATTATAGATGTATATATATATTTATATCAAACAGACCTTGAATTACTAGCTCTGATGAAGTGGCAATGGGTAAACCTTGGCTGAAGTAAAAAGTATTTAGTATTGTCTGGAGAGTAAAGGTAATTTTTTTTGCTAACTTTATTGCAAAAAAGCAAGTCTGACAGATAGAAAAGTGGATGAAGTTATAAAATTATCAGAATCCCTTAGCAGTAACAATACAATGACGATAACAGTAACAGAGGTACTTAGATTAGTAATAACCTTTTTTTAATTAAAAATTATTAGGAAATCTTTTTCTTTCTTAGACATAAAAATGACTCATTAGAACACCAAGGAATAAACTAACTGCCTTCTAACTCAAAAACGTATTAAAACTATCTTGATTGTCCCAAAATATTATGTTACGTTATTGTAGTTAATAAAGTTACAGAACAGTATTTTTCAGTTTGCACAATATATATATATACTTGTTTGAAAAATACTTCTAAAAGATAAAGAATGGGCTACAGTGTAGTTAATCACATAAATAATACAAACCTTGATTTGTGGCTTTTCCCATTGTTTTATTGTTGATTCTTTGACCTCAAAGTAGACTCGTTCTATTCTGTGACTTCCTCCTTTATAAATAGGTTTAAATGTCATGAAAGCTTAAACTCATTTATATTCAAATTTTGTAAAACTGTATTTGATTATTTCACTTTCATTTAAACTAAAAAACTTTAATTTCTTTGTTTTTGAAAAACTTGTTACGCTAATTGAAGTTTGGAACACTTTCAGACTAAATTAGAAAAACCTTTATTTTATGAAGAAAAATGTCTTTATTCATTGTCCATTAATTTAAGTTAATATTATCATAAGGAGTGAAAGGTTTCACATAACTTTTTATTTTATATTTCTGTAGCCTTTTTTGTCCAGTAAGTATGAGTAATATTAGAACCATTTTGTCAGAAAGCATGATTAAAACTTGTACAGTGAAAATAATAGGTTCAACACTTCCTTTAAAAGACAGTATTAAATAATTTTTCCAGCTATTTAAAAGTCCCAAATACCAATTTTTATTGAAGATCATATTACAGAAATGTACATATAATGAAAGGAACATAACAATAGTATCAGTATAAATCAAACAATATGCTAAAATCATAACAACTGTGTATTAAGTTCATTATTTTATAACATTTGAATTTAGCTAAATCGAAAATTCAGTTATTTTATAGGCAAAAGAATTATGAATTATTTATAATAGTTAAGATAGTACTCACTATTGTAACTGAAGAAAGTAACTGCAATTGGGAATTTCATCTGAGAATGTGTCCGTTATATGGAAAATTGATGTTCCATACAATAAATTACTATTGATTTTTAGTTTAGATGAGTAACATGAGTTGCACTACAATGTAAAGCTTGTTTCTCACATTAATTTACTTTTTTACAGGCTTTTCAAAGCCAAATCTTAAAATCAGTCAACTCATGAGTAGCAACATTAGTTTTATGCCAGTAGCTATTTCACATACATTAAAATGAAAGAGAAATATAATTTCTGTCATTCTTTCAGTTGGCTTATTGATTTAGATTATTAAAATTCTTAAATGATCATATCATTTTAACTGAGCAAGTTTCCTGAGGAGGAATATTCCATTTTTCTAACATAACAGAGTAAACTACGTTAAGCATACTCTACATTTTGTAAGTTAGTACATAAGCACCATGGTGACTTATATGGACAAATTCCCTCATGCAGTCTATTAATTAACTCTTGATTGAGGCAGGAATGTCATAATAGTGAGTAAGCATCATTGGAAGCTGAAACCTCATGCAGCCTATTAATTAACTCTTGATTGAGGCAGGAATGCCATAATAGTGAGTAAGCATCATTGGAAGCTGAAAATATTATATTCTTGTTGTATTTAAATGTTTCATGAAATAAACATGCACAATGAAAATTAATTATATTTTAGGGACAAAAGACAAATTGCACGAACTGGGTCTGTGCTACATGTAATGTATCATTCTGATTATCTACTTTAACTAAAATAATGAAACATGTGCTTCTTTTAATCTCTAGGGGATGTAATAGCTAAATGTTTTTATATATTAGCAAGGTTTGACATCAATGATTAAAGTAAGTTATAGAAATGACAGTGATACCCTTTCTTGGAACTGCATGTGTGATGTTATTAAGTACAGTGTTTAATACATGAGAGGCTACATTAAATCAAAACTGTAATGTACCACTGCACATTATTATTAATGATAATACCAGTTCTAATGTTAGTAAACTAAATTACCAACACAAAATACACTAAAACTAAAATTCAAGCAATTACTTTTGTACAAATTGTAACAGATCCAAAATATTAAATTCAGTTTAATCAATTTTAAATCTTTATATTTTTACTTTTTTGTTCTTTAGCACAAATAGTTAATTTGCTTGTTTACATTATCCTTAATGCTTGTGTGGGCTTTCCACAACAGTCATATTATCTCAACTTTTGTTTTAATAAAGTTTTTTTTGTGTCTTTAGTTTATAACACTGATATTTATTCTACTTATTGTTGAAACATATATCAACTAAGGCTATAACAAATTTTAATTGCCTTTTCAGAACACTTAAGTAAAAATACAAAAATTGCAAGTTTTTAATGATTTTAAGAATGCATAGAAACTGAAAAACCAATTAATACTAATTTTTGCATAACTATACTTATACAAACAGTGATATTACAAACATAACATTAGACAAAAAGAAACAATATAAATCATTATTCAGAGCTACATTACAACCACTGCAGACTACTCACCCATGATTTCAATCCTGCCCAAGTAAGCCTCAAAATAATTCAGAACACTACTTGCTGTTTCCAAAAATCTCGCCAGCCTGTAATATATGAGAAAGCCAAGAGCAGATTCAAAAACAACAAAATGTTATAAACATTAAACGTCATAACATACATTATGAAACACTAAGTAATGCTAACTTAGTCATCAGTTTTAATGATGAGTTCAATTTACTCCCTAGTCACATGCATCAAGGCACAATATTCATATAACATAGGGTACTAAAATTATATTTTGCAGTATCATGAGCAGTACATCCTATTTCTAGTTTCCTGCTGATATGTACATGCATGCATGTTTTATAAAGCTTTTAGTATTATTAATAATTCTGTTATTAGCATTGAAACATTTACGAAAAGTTTTGGTTTATATAGTTTATATATTACATACCTAGGGTCATTAGGCATGTGTTCTGATAAGTTGGTCAACAAAACAGCAAGGTTGAAACCTAGAAGAATGAAGAAAATAAGATTTTTCCTTACAGCAAACTAATTACAAAAACAAAATATTTTATTCCAGACAAGTACTATTTCAAAAATTAAGTACTAACTACTATCACATGCACTAAAATATTACAATACAACAATAATACAGAAGATTAGTTGTACACGTTATATGTTGACATATGAGCAGTTTGCCTTAGAAGCAAGCCATGACATGGATAACATGTTTAGCACCTATGAATTTGATTCATACCAAACATGCGACCATCTATAAGAGTAATAATTCCATGGATAGACTTATGGGAGGGATATAAGAAACCTTTTATGAAGGGAAACATTTACAAAGTAAGACTATTAAATAATCTAGAGCCAAAGGACACAACATTTCAAAGAAAGGAGCCTTTATTGTTCTCCATGGAAGCAAAAAACTTGCCAGTGAAATATTTAGGACAGCAAGGCTTCTAAAATCACACCCCTATCTTCAATCACAAGGTGAAAGCTCCATTTATAAAAAATAACTATCTTCTCCAAAAAGCCATTGTCACGAAGCTGGACATATCTCCTGGTACTAGTAATAACATAATTACAGAGATTTGAAGTTCATAAAGGCTCACAAGTTTTCTCAAAAGTAATGGCTGTTTTCATGAGAAAGATGGCTGAAGAAACTGGAACCTAGATATGTAGTCTAAGATTTACCTCACTGTCCTTTGCAAGGAAGTATTTCCAAGGGCAGAACAAGACTTGGACTATTGTTCTTACAGAGTGTATTTAACCCCTATACAATTTTAGGAATGCAGTTACTATTCTTTAAACTTAAGCTCCAATACTGAAGTTTACCTTCACGCCTAAAAAGTTAAAAATTTTGAATATTTACAGGAAGAGGCAAGAGGGGGCATTTGCTCCCCTTATATTTCACAAAAAATTGCATGTATTATGATGTAAACTTAACATCATAGTTAAACCAAATATTTTTAGTAATTTGTGTTTGCATTTAAGCACACATAACACATATTCTTTGTCTGTTGAATTACACTGTAAAAGCTGATCCCCTACATACATGTTTTGTCCCCCCCCCCAAATATTACCGTGGGTGCCTATGAAAGTTTATAATGTTAATACATAGGAAAAACTGTAAAATTAAGCATAAAAATTTACATACACACTTACCAATATCTTTTGCTGGATTATGGAAACGTTCAGTGAATTCTCGGTAGTCAATCAGTCCATCGTGATTAGGTTCACAACAACTCATTAGGTAACTAATTTCTTCCCTATTAAGATTAAAATATTATGAAACACAATGATAAATTATAAGAAACAGAACAAAATGTGAAAGTATTTTTAGAAAAATACTATTGACGATAGCATAATATTTATATACAGTATTATCTTCTATGTTCTAAATTCTTCAACACATTATGAAGAACTCAAAATTGCGATGTTTTTTAATCAGATTTGTTCACAAGTACTTATGAGAATGATTGTTTCACTATATTATGATCTTCCTTCTTATTTATAATCTTAGAGCCATCTCTTAAACATATTTTTAAAATTGTAGTTGACTTAAACCTCATGAAATGTTAATTTTAAATCTATGAATATATATACATAGCTTTGGTCTTTTACTTACTGAGTATAGATTTTCTGTTGCTCCATTGCTCTCTGAAATTCTTTTGGTGTAATCCACCCATTTCTCTTTGTATCTATCTCCTGTTTAGTTTATAGAGACTCAGATATAACATGTATTAACACACATATATGAACACTACTAACACAATAAAATTGCACTGGATATTCAGGAGAAGTTAAACAAAAAGCCATGTCTATAATCATTTGAGCATTGTTACTTATTTAGCCTCAAGCCAATTTATTTTCTTCTTTCAAATATTATAATTAATTAAATGAAGTTCTGAGAAAACCTCATAGCATATTTCACATTTATTTGTTAATTTCTTTTCTTCACCAAATGTTAATTTTAGTGAAGAAAAGATAAGTAGAGGCCTAATTTATTCTTTAAATAGCAACTGTCACTGCAACAGACTAGTTTCACTGAATTCATGGGTCATCAGACCTGATTAAAAGAGTGAAGCAAATAAACAAGTAAGCCTCATACTGTGGTGGAATATAAGCAGTTTGTTTGGTTTAGATGTACAGCCCTTTACTCATCACTAGTAATCCAAAATACTTTAGGTGTTAATTATTCATTATTATTTAAACATCATTATTATGTAAACTAAACATATTTCATATTTAATGCCTCTACTATGTAACTGATAGTGAGCAAATGACATAAAATGCTAAACAAATTCTTACCTTGCCAAATATTTTGTATAGTTTTTAAAGATTAATAAAAAGATCTGAATGCAGACAAAAAAATATTTTAAACTTGTACAGGGTTGAGTATATTATATTAAAATGAGTTTGAATTTGCAAATTGGAATGTCATGTGACATCCACAGCTGATATAAGGTCTTGGTGGAAGTACATTTTGATATTGTTTGAAAGTTTGTAGGTAATCTAATGTCACCAAAAACTGATCACTTTTAAGAAGAGTATGTAAAACTTCTTTCCAGTTCAAAATATTCATACAATCAGATCATAAAGATGTGTTCAAACTGGATATTTAGAATTTCCAAGAAGGGGATAGCCCCTGTACTTAAAGGCATTGGAAATCAAAGAAATATGTATCAATATAGGGCACCAGGACCATCCAAACGAAGATCTGCAACAAGTTGTACAGCAGGCATGGTAAGCAAAGTGTAGCATGTTGTAATCAGTGAGAATCCATCAACCCAAAAGTTATTGGTAAGAGCCATCTAAATGTTCCAGACATTAGCATGTATCATAATCAAGAAGGATCTCCAACTGGAAAAGCAACACAAGTCTAGCATACATAAGTTGCTTCCAGAGCATATCTGTTCAACCATTGTATATCTCAAGCAACTGGATAATGAAATGGGTATTCATGCTATTTCATATGTTTATGGATTTCTGTATGATCAAACTGTTGAAATGGGCACTGGAAATTTATCATCTTTGTCCAATACACAAGTAATGGAAAGCATGGAAGGACGATTGGTGTGCTTTGGACATAACAGCTTATGATAGATCCTTTTGTAATGAAAAGGGCTGTTATGTGCAAAACACACCCATCTGATGATCATGCATGATTGGACATCACAGTATAAACTGTAATGGCATGGTGAAGCTCAAAAATCATTTTAATATGACATACTCAACCCTCTGTAGTGACATGGGCTAAGAGATTAAGCTGTTTATTCAAAGATTAATAAGAAAATTGAACACAAAACATTAAAAATAAATAAAAAATTAAATCATGGAATAAAAATTGAGTTAGTTGGTCAACATTATCAAAATATAAGAAATTATGATGTTTATCAGAAAAGACAAAACTTCAAAATGTAGAAGATGAACTTTTTTTGTTAACCCACTCATATACTGTAAAATGCAATATCTTAGGATATAGATATTTGTAACAATATTGAATTACATATTCCTTCTTTCAATTTTTTAATATTTTATTCTGTAACATTCAAAACAGTTCAAAGATCCCTTATTGTCAGCTATTAATCAGCTTTCAGTTTAACTTCCCAGTGGTACATTAAACCTGAATAAAAGTCATTGAAAAATACAGATTATTACAATTATGCATTGTTTACATGATAATCATTTCATTAGAAGGGGAACTTTAATAACTTCATAAGTAAAATACAAAGATAAGGATTTTGATGATTATATGGCACCAAATGTGCAAAAAAAGATATTCTCATTGTTAGCCAGAATTAACTGTTGTATGAACTTTTCACAATTTTTTTCTTTAGTGCAGTATCGTTATTTTTTAATGATCATACATTCAAATGACAAAAATTTTAAAGCCTGATAATTTCCAAAATGAATTTTCTTTTAATCTGCCCTCTATATTTCTTTATGCCTTCCCTTAAAAGTTCAACTAATTGAAACAGTTCTCATGCAACACATATTTAACATCTAAAACTTTGAAATTGTTTCTCTTATTTGTCAAGAATTTGGGAAATGTGTTGTAAGACCCTCAGAGATTTTTAGATATTATAACAAACAGATTAAAAAAAAAATAACTCTATACATTTTTTTATTATCATTCTAAGCAGCTACGTAAAGTTGACTATAAAAATACAAAACTTGCATTTATCACAACACAAATAGTCTTCATTACCTGAAATGCTGAAGAAGATGTGAGCTCCTGTAGTTTGAGGAACATGTCGAAGAACTTCAGGATCATCTAGACTCAATAACGTGCACAATGACAAGCAACAAGACAAAATTAAAAAACAAAACAAAAAATTAATTTACAGAGCAAGACTGCTGGTGGATAAAAGAACAAGTTCACATATTACAGCTCCACAGTATCAGGCAGTCTGAAAAAGTATAACATATTAGTTGTGATTGGAGGTAAAAATCAACTGGCTGGATAAGCATTTTCAAATCGTCAATCATGAAAACTTGTGGAGTTTAATCAGATAAACCAGCTGAGAACAAAGCAAAACTTTCAAAAGCAGTTAAAAGGGAAGAGTTTATGGATTATGGAAAAACAAATATTTGCACAAAATATCTTAAGAAAAAGAAGCTAAGGTTAATAATAGAAATAACCAATAAGCAAAAGAATAATTATTTTTACATATCATGCACCAAAAATGTTTTGAGTCTAAGAATAGTTATAATTTGGGCACAAGGGCTGTGATTTTTAAAAAGACAACATTAGTTTGTCATTTAACCCATGTTCAACAGGAGTGCAATGACAGCTTGTCTGCACTCAAATTTCAAACAAATCTCACCAAAAAGGTTGGCTAAGTGAGGTGATGAGAGACTTCAACTTCAGGAGCATATTGAAGAATCGAAGGATAATCTGTGGGTGTGGTTATATTATGTCACTTGCTGATTCATAAAACATTACAAAAATCAAGAGCTACAACGAAAAATTAAACACATATTGCCCTAAATAGGCTTTGAATAGTTTGCTTTGAGAATATGATTCTGATAAAGTTTAAGACACTTACAAAACTTCATTCTCCTACAGACTCTCAACAACATATGTAATAATAACAAACCACAACAATGGGCTTCCTATTATAATCATTTTAAAAGAGTAGCCACAAGAAACAGCTTTGTAATTGAAGGAAAGTGCCTTGTTTCCTAAAAATGAATTTTGAGCCAAAAAATATACAGTTAATTAGTTTTGTCTTTAAATAAGACTTAACAACAGCAGAAGACAATAATCCACTTTTTTGGTGAAAGATATTTTCTTTGACTTAATTACAGCTAATATCAAAAGGATGATATAGTTGCGCATTCCAATAAAAATATACATGTACTAAGAAACATGATTTTCATATAACAACAGCAAACAAAACAGTTTTGCCTTAAAACAAGGGATAATAATTTCTGTAGAATTTTGTAGGACAAAATGGAAATATGTAACATATGAAAAAGTGTGAATTAAATAAGATCCACAGGTTTGTTGGCCAAACATACAACTGATGCCTCTATAAGGGAAGATAACAGCTACAAGAACAGCCTCAGGAAAAATACAGACAGAGTGGAGAAAACTGGTCAACTTCTCCTGGTGAGAAACTTATAAAGAGCACATACAAATAAAGATTGTGGAATATACAAACATATAAAACAGAACAGGAACAAGGGCTTTTGTATCTTACTGCCTTTTTAAACATATTTTCCTTAACTATTTATGCATCAAATTCCTTGTGGGTCCATAGCTCAATTGTTTTGTTGGTTACAGGGCCTTTATTAATATAAGAATCACACAAAACTATGTAACCACAAGTATCATCAGTAATGCAATTAATCCTAATAATTGCTGCACGATGTGGTCCCTTATGTATTTTACATAGAATATTAGTGATTTCACTCATTTCTTTTAGTCAGTTACTTACAATGAGTGTTATAAAAAATAACAACATAAAATTACTCAATATTATGCAATATGTGGACCTAACTAATAGTGAAAAATATAGGTTGGTACTTTGAGGGTCAAAATGAAATGCCAAAATACTTCAGTTAATAATAATAAATAATGTTTATTTCTACACAACAATCATAACTATTGGGTAGAAGAGCAACTATTTTATATAGCTGACTTAAGAGATATTTCAAAAATACATGCAGTGTAGCAACCTACTGCTTTCAGCAACTTTTGACTAGTGAATAAAGAATTATTAATATAAAGAGTGTTGCATTTCATAAATAGCTAAACATGCCTTGGAATGTTGGTAGTTTTTCTGATTATTCTAAACAGGTTTTCAGTGTACATCAAGGATTAGATTAATTCATATACATCTATTAAATATGAATCTCTTTGAAAATTTAAAATAATTAGCATTTTAAATTAGATTTAATTTTCTAAGTAACAAACACATTTTTTCTAATAAATTAAAAGTGGATTTTATTATAGTCAAATTGAGTGTCAACACTTAAATGAGAAACAAGTAACAAAAATTTAAGCTCACAAGCTATAAATTTTTTCTCATTTTTATAAGTGGCGACATCTGATCGACAGTCATAACATTTTTACATTTTAACCGAATATAATAAATAAACTGTTGTTAGAAACTTCTTTCATTTACTCCAAATGTGCAGTCCCTTTCATCTCATGGAGCTTTTACAACATACATTATTAGCACCAGATAAACAGTTAAAATTTTTACAATTAAAAATGGCACATTAAAATCAATAACACTAATGAACCCAAGTGGAGCATATAAAATTGTATTATTTAAGCACCTACACATTAAAATATATACACAACAGAAATGTTTATTTTGGCAGCCATAGCCTTACTGTACAAGTCATTTTGAAAAATTCTTTACAAATACTGGCTTTTTAAACTAGATTAAGTTTTCTAAATAAAATAAGCAATACAATTTTTGCTAATCAATATAAAATGAATACAATCTCATTGAGTGTAAGCTCTTAAGTGACAAATAAGAGAAAAAAAGACTTTAAATCACAATTTTAGAATCAGTTTTTAAAAATGTGAATTATCTCAACATTCAATCAACAGTCATGATATTCTTATATTTTACCTGGCACAATAATGGACTGTTTAATTCATACATATAGCTACCCTAAAAGTATTCATATTCCTACCTACCTCTACATTAGAAGCAGATTCTACTATAACGGATTGTTTAATTCATACATATAGCTACCCTAAAAGTATTCATATTCCTACCTACCTCTACATTAGAAGCAGATTCTACTATAATGGATTGTTTAATTCATACATATAGCTACCCTAAAAGTATTCATATTCCTACCCTAAAAGTATTCATATTCCCACCTACCTCTACATTAGAAGCAGATTCTACTATAATGGATTGTTTAATTCATACATATAGCTACCCTAAAAGTATTCATATTCCTACCTACCTCTACATTAGAAGCAGATTCTACGAGTGTATCCACCATCTGCTTACCAATAGTTCCATTCATAACATTACCTAAAATAAATTACACTTTTTGTGGTTCATAAATATTTCAATTAAATTAACTAATAGGTAATGTATGGATTAGTCACTTCTTATCAAACTTTGATAGCTACTGGTAATATTTATCAATATTCCAAGGTTTATATATCATATTTCTCTGGGTAAAAACCTTTATGATTAGTATGCAATTTCAAACTCATTAATATTTCTAATTTTACATTTTCTTATTATTTAAAAACATGTAAAACAAATAATTTAGTTTTGTACTACAGTGTCATATACACATGCAATATACACGATCTTGTTATCAAAAGTTAACTTTATGCTTCAGCAACTAAATCACTTTAAAGTATGTGGTGTATCTAATTTACCAGACTTACATGTGTATGTGAGTGCTATATATATTTGTTTGTATTAGTTAAAGTTCTATTTCAATCTTCACAATTTTGGAGAAGAACTTAATGATGTGATTATCTGCACTGTAAAAGATAAAAGTGCTACTAACTATATTCTACAACAGTAATACTACAGCTTTAATTAATTTTCTGGTTATGTTATATCTGAATTCTTAGAACTTAAGTTACTGATATTTTTTAAAAGAAATACATAAAATCATATTTACTTTCCTAAAGAATTTAAACATAAACAGTGCTTGAGATGAGGGGGAAAACTGGAATGTCATTCCAGTTGTTAACTTTTTTTTATCAAATCATTGGAACTGCTGTTTCTGAATTGGATATCAAACCTGATCATTCCACTTGTTAATTTTTTAGAATTCAAGCACTGAAAACCAGTAACATTACATGCATATATGAATAACAGGCACTCAAAAAAGTATATCACCAAGTAGTATCTTATTCCTTTGGGGAGTTAATTGTACACTTACTTGAAAACAGACATGACACAACATAATGATTTTTTAAGATCCACAATACTTTGCTACCTAAACTAAGTCTGTTTTTGAGTACCAACCTTCTAGCATACTAAGCATCATGATAACCATTTCCTTTTGCAGTTCCAACAACTCAGTCAACAGATCAAGCTGGCTGGCACTCTAGAAGATGAAAAACAAGGAATGTAGTAGTGTCTAATTTATTTACAAGAAAATTCTTAGTTTACTTAGTGATCATATGTTCATTTAAAACTTCAAATAAACAAATTAAGTATGACAGAAGTAAAGCAGAAAAGTTGAATAGAACAACCATTATGAATTTGATGTATATAATCTTTGTTTTCTAGTCTGCTTTTGGTTTTTACCTTAGAGAGTTTGTCTTGCATGTGGGAAAAAAGAAACATAAATCCACCAACAGCATCCCACAACCTACTGTGTGCTAAAGCCTGTTGGTTCAAAGGGCATGGTCCCTATAATAAAATAAACAATAAGAAACATCTTCATTTCTTTATTTAAATTATGATTATAAGTTCAATTATATTGAGCAAACACTTATTCTCTATGCAGCTGAAATTTCTGAATAATCAAAAACAGAAAAGACTTCATATGGAGAATTGAGTATGTCATATTTAAAACGAATTTCAATAAGCAAATCAGAAAGTCACAAAAAAATTGAGGTGCTAAAAAGTGACAGTGGAATAGAATGTATCAGAACTACATTTTGACATTCAAATTTGATAGATAGTGCAATACCATTGAAACTTTATTGTTTTGGGGGAGGGTATGCAACAGACATTTTAAGTGCACAATTATCATAAATATGTGTTCAGATTGGGAATAATAAAGAGACATGCATCAAGTTGTACCCCAGCCATGGTAAACAAAGTATGGCATATTGTAACAGATAAGAATCAACAAATACAAAAAACCAGTGGCAAAAGCTGTTCACAAGTCTTAGGCAACAGGACAACATAATCAAGAAAGATCTTCATCTGGAAAGGTGACACAAGTTGCTTCTATGACATATCTGTTCAACCATCGCATACCTCAAGAAACTGGAGAATGAAACATGTATTAATGTTCAATAAAGACATACCAGTCAAATAATTTGAAGTATCTATGGATTACTGTGCAATCAAACTGATGAAATGAGCACTTGGAAACAATTCTCCTCATACACTAGATGGAACTACGGAAAGCACATATGGAGGAGTGATATGCTTCTGGACAATGACAATCTTTCAGTGGAGACTTTTGCAACAGAAACTACACTGCAGGGCTATTGTCAATATGCAAGGTCATCGGATATAGCATGACCAGTCGTGGTGATATTGGCTGTCATGATGTGGTGAAACTCCAAAATCGTTATACTATAACATACATCACCTCTGTATATCAGTATTATACTTCTTAATGTGTTATCTTGTTCTCTCTAGTTAATACATATGACAGTTTTCTTAATTCACACACAAAGTTCATAGATTTGAATTGTGTTTAATGAAAACTGGAGTTAAGGTTATTGATTTTTATCAGGGTAAAGCACTCATTCAATGAAAGTGATTTACATTTCATTTTTATTTAAGAGCTTTATTTTTCTATTTTTTGTAAGTGACTCCATTTGGCACTAGTTGGCTATAATGCTCTAACTAAAGGCAGGTTAAAGTGCACGTCATGACTTTTCAAAGAGTTGCATTACAAATCTAATTAAACTACTTGATTATCATGGTATATGAATAAACTTGGCATAAAAACATAGTTAATAAATCAAATTTTAATATTACACTAGATGTACTTCTGCAGTGTTCCCCAAAATTTTCTGTTTCAAGAGTAAATAAAGTCGAAATTGAAAGTAACAAATATTTTCATTTCTTGCTTTTGAAGTTCATATGTTATGCTGTGTTTTAGCCTATACAATGCATGATTCTTCTCTTGATTCATGGCATGTGTACATTTTCCTGACACCATGACAGTACAAATTGCATCATTAAGCATCCCTTACGTGGCATCATTTTAGTGTCTACTGATTGACTGACAGACAACACACTACTGTATAGTACTGTATTGTAGTGCAAGTGGTTAAAACAGGTGACCCCTCCAGGCAGCCTTTGGTCCCCTTTGGGGGAAATAAGATTTAAGTTTTTAATTTTATAAGGGAATATAAAAAAAAATCTTCAATTTCACGCTAGTATGAGAATTGTTACATTTGCTCTCTAGTTATCCCCTCTTCTCTAATTTATTTACTACCCCCCCCCCAAAAAAAAGTATGGAATTTAATATAAATTATTTATTATAATATTGTTATTGCTCAGCAAAAACATAATTTTTATAGTCTTCAATCTTATTTGGTTACAGAACCATAAAATAGAAAACCAGACTCCTCTTACCACGCCCACTGGTCACAATTTCTCTCTCTCACAGATTGCCAATAGTTCTCTCTGATGTTTAATACTATATTATTTATAACCAATAGAAAGCCAAAGTTTTAATCTATCAAATGATGTACTATATGATATTGTTTTATGTATATAGGATTGTTTATTTTGCTTCCAGTTTAAAGTCTGTTCCCTTGGGAAACACATTGATAAGCTTAGCTGAATTTTTAAGGGCTTGTATGACATAGCTAGAAAGCCAGAAATATTATGATAATTATGGGATATTGTCTGCTTTTACATGTTATTATTCTGTGTTCTTGTGTGCATTATTTAATTAAATAAAAAATTATTTAGTGTAGTAGTCTCATTAATATAAAAAAGTAGGGTATAGTTTCATAGATAGTTGATAGCAGAAAAAGACGACGACCTGGGTATGTTTCATATTTATGGTTTTTATGTGTATTCTTTATTTATTATTATAAAAGTAACAAAAATTTAAAAATTAGAAACTTATTAGGTTAGATTTGGTAAGATATAAAAATAAAAATAATAATCAACATTTTTTTTATGAGCTACACTCATGAGTAGCTGGTGCATTACATAATTTGATAGGGTAACATGAGCTACATGTTTGTCGAGTGATTTATAACTTGTGTGGCAGGATTATTAGATAGACAGAGTAATGAAATTTAAATAGAAAAAGATGTATACTTTTACTACCTTTAAGCAATTTAGGATAAACAAGTCTAGTTTCCTGTTACAAACTGAAGTCATTCTATAGAGAAAAAAAGGTAATTTAGATTTATTTCATTTTTTCTATGATGATTACGAGATCAGTCAAACTGACCAACCCTGAATATAGTTAGGGTAGAGAAAATAACAGATAAAATATAAAGTTTTACTAAAAAAAAACGTTTGAAATTTATGTAGGAGGTTTTAGACATTACATAAATGAAATATGACTATTTTCAGATGAAGTAAAGTATTTTTAATCTTAACATGAAAATCACTTTGGACTCGGAACAGACAACACTTTGACTCCATATATTCATGGAAAATTTTTAGTAAAAATACTTGATCAATAAATAAAATACTTGATTTTTTTTTGTCTATAAAAGACTTGTAATGCTTACTGAAAACTTGCAAAATTTCATGAAGATATACAAAACATTAAAAGTTATAGTATGGAAACTCTTAAGGTCAATTTGGGGTCCAGATTTAGGTCAAACTGAACAAGCCTGTAGTGAGAGAATTATTGGGCTTGAAGCCCACTGATGTCAAATAAGGTCACTTGCACTTTCCTGCACCTTATGAATTAAATTAAATTATAAACATTGTGTTATTTTACTAGTGAAACAATTTGTCCAAAACAGTTTTGTCCTTGGTAATCCACAGATGGCAGTTGCACTTCATTCTGACATAGCTATGGCAAACTAGTTGGGCTCAGAAAGGGCTGGAAGTTGTCCAGTGTTGTCAAAGCATGATCATGCTGTTCTATGGCTCATCAGCACACACCACTTCTTGGGGGAATTCAACTTATCTTTGTCGTTCTCTGGGTGAGATGTGGAAGCTGAAGACATGTCTTGGTCTGGTGTATCAAGTGATGAGGAGCCACACTTACAAACAAGCACTGGTGGCACCTTCTTTCTTCAGTTCCTTCTCTGTCTTTAGAAAACACCCTCTCAGACTGTTGGATTGCAACATTCCAACAGTCAAGATGGTCAGAGATTTCAGATGAAGCTCGAGCTCATGGAAGGTGAACCAATTGTTAAAGTATAAGTTGAAGTTTTGTCTTTTGGGAAGTGTTTCACAAAGGTTGATGATTAAGTCATCTGGTGGATAACCCCAGTTCTTTCCTACTGCTGGAGTTTTGCCATCATACATATGGAAGTCATAGGCTGCTAACTCCACAACAAGCAAGCACTTTGAAACCTCATTTTTTGACTTCTTGAGCAGGTACTGGTGAAGAGAATTCTTTCTCTTGTATGGGATAATCTTCTCATAGATACATATCTTCTATTCTGACATGCTTCTCTAAGCATTGTCATAAGTGGACTAGCTTTAAAGTAATTATTATAATTTGGGTCTCCTCAGTTTGTCTTCAATTGCCTGTTGTAATTAAAGTGGATATATCTGTTCGTGACATTAGCACTTTGGGATAATCTCTTTTCTTTTAACCAGTACATTTTGTACCTTTGCATGTGCATCTTGAGAAGCACTCCAAGATATTGTTCCATCTCGACTGAGCCAACAGGAATGTTAGCTCTGAACTAAACTGCAAAGAGTTTTGTATGTTCTATAATAAGCTCAACAAAAGGTCTGAAAAAAGAACAACAAAATACTTTATCTGCATTTTGTCTTCTGGTGGCTCACTTAACATTCCTTTCCATTTTGTCATTGGGTTTTGGCACTGATTTCTGTCTCCATCTGAAGGCATGGCTGAACTTTGAAGCCTGTTGGAATTAATCTACATCCTTGTCCTTGCAAACAGGATGATAAAATGGTAAATCATCATCACTTGAGGATTCATAATCCTCTGACTGAAATTCTTCGTTAGCATATTTGTCGTCAAGCACACTATCTGACTCACTGTGTGGATCTGAAAGATCCACATCAGTCAGCAGAATCAACTGAGAAGCAATACATCCTCTTCTTGTTTGATGGCATTCTATGTTACAGCCCATCATCTTCACAGCTGTAATTCAAACATATCTGAATCACTCAACGGATAGATGCAACCAGATTTATTGTATTCTACAAAAGTAAATAAGATAGCTATTATGCAACACTATCAGTTATCCATTACCAATGGATCCATAGACTTCAAATGGAGTCATGATAAAAACTGTTTCTTTCTTAAACTATAATTGTTCAGCAAGCAAATGCTTGATGTGAAATACAATTAGACTTACTAATTAACAAGTTTTCAATTGTCTTACCTTTTTGCTTGTTGGAAAATTCCCTCCAAATCTAAAGAAGATGGATGATGCACATGCAAGATATTTGAAATGCTGCAGTGTTGCCACCTTCTGACTGTTTGTTTGTTTGTTTTGAATTTCGCGCAAAGCTACACGAGGGCTATCTACGCTAGCCGTCCCTAATTCAG